GCTGTGTTTCCTAATGCATAAATAGCACTACGCGTAGTCCTCATTTCATCTTGTTTAGCAACCTTTTGCAGCTCTAATACATAATGTGTGATTGGAAAAGTAGGAGTAAATTCATTTATTTTGAGAGTACTGGAATCTTAAAGGTTAGGAAAAGATCATGCAAAGTATTGCATGCAATATTGCATGCAAAATAGATCCATCATTGTTACACTGATGTGGCAAGAATGAGATAACATCAAGAGTATGTGAATTATGTTAGCTTGCAAGATGGTCATTTTACAACTTCATGACATACAACTGTAATGAAGAGGCTCCAAGGACTATTTGTACTTAACTTTATAGGAGAAAAAGCAGAGTGCTCTGTTACCGTTGAGTGATAACGTCTTCTAATAGTTTCAAGAGAAATATCTTGGGAGTTGGGAAGAAATTGCATCTGATTGTAAAGCAGCGAAGATGATTAAGGATTGGATAGATTGGTTAAGTACAAATATCCTTTGTTCTGTCAACAAAGCTGCATGTGAGGCTTTGTTGCAACAGCCAAAACCTGGTTTTAGATGTCAGTTATATTTCAAGCAATAACACTGTTGTCAAAGAAGGAGTCCAAGGCATTTCTCTGCTTCATACTTTGTAGTCAGTATTTAATAAAAATGGCTCAGAATTTTCCTATCTTCTATCGGTCATCTCTCTCTGTCTCTCTCTTTTTCTCTCTCTCTCTGCCTCTCTGTCTCTATCTATCTATCTATCTATCTATCTATCTATCTATCTATCTATCTATCTATCTCTGTCTCTCTCTTCTCTCTCTCTCTCTCACTCACTCTGTCTCTCTCTGTGTGTGTCTCTCTCTCGCAGTCTCTCTCTCTCTGTCTCTCTGTCTCTGTGTGTGTCTCTCAGTCTCTTTTTCTGTCTCTCTCTGTCTCTCTCTCTCTCTGTCTATCTCTCTCTCTGCCTCTCTCTTCCCCCCCCCACCCAATATTTATCTGCCATTCTAGTATGGCAGATAAATAAAATAAAAATGTAGTATGCATTCCAGTGAATACAATGTGACCTCAGGAATCCAAGGTTACAGTCATATCATTATTTATTAAATTTATTTCCCACTCATCTCGCATTGAAATGACTCTGGACAGATTACAGCATTAATGCATTAAAATCCTAATTGGATAAATATTTTTAAAATAGTAAAAATGGAAATCATAATCAAAATAAAATCATGGATTAAAAGATGGGGGGGGGGGGGGAAACAGGATGTGGGGTGGAGGTGGGACTGCCTCTTAATTCATCAGTGTGAAGTTCCCCTGTTGGGGCTCAAAGTCATTTGGTAGAGGCAGGTCTTCAAGGTTCTTGTGGAAGGTCAAGACAGTTCCTCAAGTAACATGGACCCATGCAATGCAGTGCTTTAAAGGTCATAGCCAACACTTTTAATTGCACCTGGAAGCAGGCCATCAGCCATTGCATCTCACAGAGCAGTGGTGTAATATGAGCCCAAGTATTGCCCGTGCGGCCACAGTTTGCACCAGTTATAGCTTCTGAATGCTCTTCAAGGGTAGCCCATGTAGAGCTCATTGGAATAGTCCAGACATGAGATGACCAGGGCTTGAATGACTGAGCCCAAGGAGTCCTGATCCAACAATGGTTGCAATTAGCGTACCACCCGAAGTTGTCTAAAGAGTTCACCAAGCCACCATTGCCACCTGCTCTTCAAGCAGGAGTCACAAGTCCAACAGAACCCTCAAGTTGTGAACTAGGTCTGTCTGGGGTAGAGCAAATTCATCCAAGTCCCGGATCTTGGAGCGGTAATACTGAGACCGACCTGTGAGTCCTCTCACAGGTAGAGGTTAAGCTGATTCTGTTTGGAGAAGGTAACTTGACAAGTAACCAGACCTTGCTTTCTGACAGAAAGAGTGAAATCAAAAGACCCAAGGAAGACAAAGGCCTCCTTGGTTTGGGTTCCTTTTTTAATTCGCTTTTCTTATGTTGCATTTTTAGGTGAATTACACAACAGTTCTCAATAAATCAAGACAACTTCACCAATGGGGTTTTATCTCTGAGGTACCCTTGCAGTGTGCAACGCATGAAGCCAGAATAAGGAGCAAAGTGATGTCTTCTGAAATTTGGAGTAACTGGAGTTACTGGGTAGCAGCAGAAGGTAAAGTCCAATTACCAGTGAAAAGCATGATGGGCTGCATTGTGCAGTTTCTCTAACCTTTCTTCTTCAGGAATGTTGAATTTCTCTTTCTGTTTTCTCTTCCTCTTCATAGTACCCTAACAAATAATTCCTTACCTTATTAGGATAGGAACTTAGTGTGGGTAGAGTGATAGTGAAAAGGCTTGCTATACCCCTCTCCTTCCACTAAAACTTCAGCCTCTGAAGATTGGAAATGCCCCTTAAGAATAAAGTGCATTTTAATAAACTGTAATATTATTGCAAAAATTGTTATCTCCTTGGAGGATTTCTTCAGAGGCATTTGCCTAAAGTCCATGCTTAAAATAACCTTCCATGCAAGGAAGGTAATTCTCGACTTATGACAGGCCATTTAGCAATAATTCAAAGTTACAACAACCTCCCTAAAGGTATTTACGACCCTCTCCCAAAGGTATATAAGTTCAAGCCCAGAGGTGGGCTTCACTTACCTTCCCTACTGGTTCACAAATGTAAGCACAGCCCTCCGTGCATGATCTTTGCTTGAGCATTATGTACGGGCAGGTGGCCACTACCGATTCACCAAAACCGGACAGAACTGGCTGAATCCCAGCACTGTTCGAGCCTCCCTGCAATCATTCACCCGTATGACTGACTTCAGGGACCCTGCAGCTTCCCGCCTCCCCTGGCCACCTATATTTCCTCACCCCGCCGCTCAGATCCCCCAGGCACTGCATCTGCTTTGCCCACCGGATTCCACAAACTTCTCCCCACCCCCCACCCTCCATCACTGATCACTCACTTACCTTTCCAAGATCTCCAGAGCTCAAGAAGTTGGGGTATGGAAAGAGGACAGGCTACTCCATTGCTCGGCCACATGGCAGAATTCCACAAGCGTCTGTCTTTTCCTGAAATGCTTGGCTTTCCTTTCCTCTCTAGCCCTAGCCTTCCTTCCCAAGGCATTAGCATAGACTGCTAAACCTGGGGGGCGGGGGGAGACAGTAAGGAAGCTAACAAGGAAAGGAAAGCCAAGAAGATTTTGTCTCCTTGCAAGTGCTAGCCTTCCCTCCCCCTTACCCAATGTCAACTTGCAAAGCATTTCTAGTCTGCTCTCAAGTTGTCATGGGCAGAAAGTGGGGAGATCTGTCGGAGCAGTTCAGCAGCCATGTTCACAAGCACATTCCACCCATACCTTCTTCCAAGGTTTGATCTCAGATTACCAAAGCCAGTTTGTGAGGTGTGTTTTCTATAGCCCTCAAAAGTGCCTCGTTGGTGAATGTGATTTATGACACAGCCTGAGAGGAGGGGGGAGGAAACAGGGTCATAGTTGAGCCGTAAATTACATGCAGCAGAGTTGACTACACTTGGGTAGATGCCAACATGTTGCTCCTAATAAATAGTTGGATTTCTTTTGAAACTTGGCTCGAGGCTCATGAGTTAATTAGGGAATTTGCCCTAACACCCCGCTTTAATAGTGTATGCTAATGCCTTGGGAACAAAGCTAGTAACTAAGGAGGGAACGAAAACCAAGATGATTTAATCTCCTTGCATGCAATAGACTTCTCTTCTTCCACATATTTAACAACATATGCTAATGTCTTGGGATTAGGCATTAGGCTAATGTGGAAAGGCAAATCAAGAGCTTCGCCAGAATCTCAAAAAATGACAATTCATGGAATCCTGTCACGTGATCCAGAAACTTGTCCTCCTTCCAAATCCCAACCTCTTGAGCTCTGGAGATCTTGGGAAAGTATTTGAGTGATAGGGTAGTGTGGGGAGGAGGCCCAAAGTGGCTTAGTGAATCCCAAGGGGCAGAAAGTGGAGCATGGAGTATCCTGGGGTGGGGGAAGCTTTAGGAGGCTGAGACAAGGGGGCTTCTGCCTACTTTAGGTCTTCCAGTTTCTCCCCATCTCTGATGCACCCCATGCTGCACTTAATGACCCATGCATTCATTTAACGAACACATTGGGGTGAGTGAGCAGGGATAGGGACTTGTTAAGAGAGGTGGTTCACTTAACATCTTCCTGACTTTCAATTGTAATGGGCAGGCTCCATTATGGTCAACTATTAGATTTTGTAGCCTAGTTGTGATGTCTGAGGTCTATACAAAAATCCCATTCCTCTGTTAGTATTAGGGATCAAAACTGTACATGAGGACTACTCATAGTACAAATGTTCAGTAACATCTAACCATTGCTCAAATGGAAGGTGTTTTTTTTTCATTTTTCTGATGTGAAGGCCTCTCTGTCCAATAAAATGCTTAAATGAAGAAAATTAAATCTTTTTTCCCTGTTGTTTTCTGCAGGCCCAGATGCTCTCAGTGATGCAACAATTCACTTCTTCCCTAAACACAAAGTATTTGAGCGTGGTTCCAAAATCACATTTTGCTGCATTGCAAGGAAAAATCAATCTGTATCTGTTTTTATAATTCACAATAACCTAAAATTTCCGGAGGGAGATCGGCAACGAGCATTGTTAACTCTAACACCTGAATCTTCATTCCCTAGTCGCATTCGGTTCGGTTGCTTTTTTTCCGACAGTGGTAATTTGCTAATAGCAACTTATCTCTACCTCACCAGTAAGCAGAAAATTTTGAATCTTATTGCTTGTCACAATGGGCACTCTGGGTTGTACCAAATGGCCTGGACTTCAGTTAACAGTAATTCCAGCCATCATGGAAGATTAATTCAGAGATTATGGGAGTTACGATCTAGTAACATTACGAGGATCCCACATTGCTCTCCTCTGCTGGAGAGAACAGAATTATTTTAACTAGAACCGCTTTGAATTTTAATCTTAAAATCTGTCTTTGTGTTTATGCTGAATTTTCTCCAATACTGAAAGAATTCATGCCCTAAAATGTTGGTTGACCAAAGACCACGGATAGCTCTAGAATACACAAAAGTGGTTTTTTGTTTTTCACTTGCCAAAAGGGAGTGGATCAGTAATTTCCTGGGGCTGCTTTTGGTAGTTGTTTCCAGCTGTTTGATAATCATGAGATTATCTGCTGCCAATAGCAGATTGGAAGAAAGTTGATAGTGTATAAAAGCATTGTGATTTGCAAGTGCATGTGAATGGCAGAAGAAATCACTATTCATTTATGAGTGGATCTGGTCACTTTCCTTCAAAATGTGGTAGCACAATGCATGTTGCTGTGAATTCCTGATGAAAAGGCAAAATATAAATTTAATAAAAATAAAGGAAATATTGGGTGAGCCAATATCCCTTTTAGAATAAAGCAGGGACAGCCAAACTCCAGAGCTCCATAATTTTTATGGGAAGATGGTCATTGGAAACATCCTTGAATAAAAGTGACAGGATATCCAAAGATGGAGAGGGATTCAGTATCAGAAATACAGTATTCAGAAATAAAGGTAGGAATAATGCAGGGGCGGGCGGGAGGGCCCAGCTCTCAGTTAAAGAGAATCGGTTCGGTGATGTCATATAATCACCACTACCGGCTCGTCCGAACAGGGCTGAACCAGGAGCAACCCACCACTGATCTGTTCCCAATGCTTGTATGGATCATCTTTCTGCTGTTGGTGGGGGAATCAAGATGATCAACTTGACATTTTTGGAAAGTAACTGTACAGAAGAAATATAATGCAAATTTAATTTGCATTAAAATTTGTTTTAATGCAAATTTGTTTCAATAGGGCAGCCCGTTAAGCCCCAAAATCTGAGCTGTGAAACTGAAGACATGATTAATATTAAATGTACTTGGGATCCTGGATATGTAGAGAAAACTGAGTACTTGGAGAAAGTCTGTCCAATGGAGTTTATTTTGTCTGATGTGTAAGTATTCACAAATCATTCTTCCAAAGTCAATCCAAAACATAATATGAAGGAGTTTAGAGTAGTTGTATCAGGATTTATCTTTGAAAGGAATATTTAGGGATGTTGAAGACTTTGATGCCAGGAGACAAAATCTGTCTTGGATAAAAGAGACGGGTGTCTATCAGAAAGTTAAAGCAAGTCAGCAATTTGCATATTTAACTTAAATGGAGGAAACCCTTCACATTTTGCTTAAGGTTATTGTATTCCTATAGTAAAACATATTGAAATTTAAAGTGGCTTAGAGATAAACCCTGGTTCAGAATAAATTTTGAATTTGTACACAAAGTTCAAGATTAATGTATTATTTTTGACTGCAAATAAGATAAAATATTGTGTTTTCTTTCTCCCATGCTATTTCTTGAAAGCTCTTCTGGAAAAATATATTGCAGTACAAAATTCAAAAATACCTGTTCATTCAAGATGGGCAACCAGTTCCTGTACAATGTAAACTTAACCTCCAGAAATTGCCTTGGACAGAAACATGAGCAGTTTCGTTTTGATGTAAACAACAGTGGTAAGGGTTGATTTTCTTTATTTTTATATTTCGTCCTACTGACACAATCTAAAAGTATGAAATACTTTTGCATCAGTCGTGGGTTCCACTTACCTTCGCTACTGGTTCAGAATCGGGAGCGCGTGTGTGTGCATGTTCTGGCTTTGCTCGGGCGCAGCGTTTCTGCGCATGCACAGAACCTTCTGCCCATGTGCAGAGCGTCTATGATGATGTAGGGGTGGGTGGGCAGAGCCTCCCGCCACCGCCACTACCGGTTCGCCCAAACTGAGGTGAAACGGTAGAAACCCACCACTGTTTTGCATATTGAAAGTGGATTAAAATGTCAACCAAGACTTAATCTATGGAACCAGTAGTAAAAATTTGTAGTAGTTCTGAGAACCGGTAATAACATTGGCTGGCCATGCCCCCAAACCGGTCCCCAGCCTGGTCACCGCTCGCTTACCCCGCCCACCTCATTAGAGGCTTTTTTTTTAACTTTTAAAAGCATTTTTTTCTACAACCTCTTCGGCCGAAAAAATACTTTTAAAAGTAAAAAAAAGCCTCTGATGATCTCACAGGTCAGCTAGGATCATCAGAGGCTTTTCAAAGCATTGTTTTCTGCAACCTCTTAAGGTTGTAGAAAAAAATGCTTTTAAAAGTAAAAAAAAAAAAAAAGTTGGCCATGCCCACCCAGTCACATTACCCCCCCACACCAAGCTACGCCCACAAAATAAGCCACGCCCACAGAACCGGAAGTAAGAAATTTTAGAACCCACCCCTGCACACAACATGTACAAAAAGGGGTGAAGTTTGTGAATTGGACAATGCAGTCCAACTCAGATTTCCATCTCCACTTCCAACTGGGTGAACGGCAGGCAACCTGTCATATAAATTCAAAGTATGCTGCGCTGCAGGTAGTAGTCCCTTCTGGAAATGGAGTAGCTGGATGGAGAATATATTTGTCAAGACTCATGAAGCTGGTGAGCATTCTGTTGTGGAAGAAAATTTTAACAGACCTGGAGCCTAGAGTTTTGTTGTCTCCCTTATCTGGTATCGAAGAACTCTCTAACAGTTAGAGAGTTGCCTAATTTGACAAAGGATTTTTATGTCTGCTCTTTCTTAATTTGTTACTGTTGATGTTTTTGCTGCTATACCATCATTACTTCTTCTCCTGAAACACATACACATCAGCATTAATGGGATAATCACTAGAAGGTGAAGTAAATGGAAAGACTATTTTTCTTTTGGAAACAAAAGCAGGTGCACTAAAAACCTAAAATAACTTAAAAGAAACCCAAAATAACAGTGTAATGTTATCTGTTCATTTCAAAATGTGGAGTTCAAGGTTTTAAACGTTTAATCTCAGTTTAGCGCCTACCCCAGAAACTGCTTTTGTTGGTGCAAGTATATTCCCATATTATGTATCCGGAAAGGAATTAGGCCCTATTACTGCAACCTGGACTTTTGAATTGCCTGACTAATATTACTAATTTTTCAGTGCTTTAGTTTTAGGCTGTTAACCATCTCATACATGCTGTAGTAGAAATGTGCACTATTATATTGAAAATAAAATAAAATATAAGGATCCAAGCACACCCCAATCTCTCAAGCTGCCAAACTTTAAAGAAGTTCAATATTTATAACCACAATAAATAAATACAATAAATCAGGATTTACTATCATCTATTGTAGTCACTGACATAAAATTGTCATTGTCACTATATTCTGCTTTAACAGCGTAAGAAGCAGAACATCTATTAAGGTGATTTTAAAAAGAAATGTTGTAATGTTGTCGATAACGAAAAGTCTATGTCAGTCAGCCAATTCTCTTGAAGATGAAAACACACCAGCATCATTTGTTGTTGTTAGTTGCAAAGTCGTGTCCGACCCATCGCGACTCCATGGACAATGTTCCTCCAGGCCCTCCTGTCCTCTACCATCCTCTGGAGTCCATTTAAGCTAACGCCAACTGCTTCAGTGACTCCATCCAGCCACCTCATTCTCTGCCGTCCCCTTCTTCTTTTGCCCTCAATCTTTCCCAGCATTAGGCTCTTCTCCAGTGAGTCCTTCCTTCTCATTAGGTGGCCAAAGTATTTCAGATTCATCTTCAGGATCTGGCCTTCTAAAGAGCAATCAGGGTTGATCTCCTCTAGGACTGACTGGTTTGATCGCCTTGCAGTCCAAGGGACTTGCAGGAGTCTTTTCCAGCACCATAGTTCAAAGGCCTCAATTCTTTGGCGCTCAGTCTTTCTTAGGGTCCAACTTTCACAGCCATACATTGCAACTGGGAAAACCATGGTCTTCACAATATGCACTTTTGTTGGCAGGGTGATGTCTCTGCTTTTTAGTATGCTGTCTAGATTTGCCATAGCTTTCCTCCCCAGGAGCAAGCATCTTTTAATTTCTTGGCTGCAGCCCGCATCTGTGGTGATCTTGGAGCCCAGGAAAATAAAATCTGTCACTACCTCCATTTCTTCCCAATCTATTTGCCAGGAATTGAGAGGGTCAGATGCCATGATCTTAGTTTTCTTTTTTTTTTATTAAAAATTTATAAATTTTATTAAAACACAAATTAGACATTTATACAACATACAACATATAAATAAATAGCTTATCCTTTTTAAGCATTGTTTCATAGAGGTTTTCCATCTGATACTTTATATTTCTTCCCCTTTTTCTTAGTCTAATATTTTTTTCCTCCTCCTCCTATTCTTCTTTTCTTTCCCCCCCTCCTTGTCTTTCCCCCTATAGAGATCTATATATTTTGATTGTATTGTTACTTTTTTACATTTCTATATTCATATTATATACCTATAAAATTATTTGTATACATATTTACATTTTTATTCTTTTCTTCTTGTATTTATGTTTCTTTATTGATGGTGTTAAGCCAATTATACCATTTGTTCCATATTCTGTAGTAGTCTGTCTCTTCTTTTTCTTTGATTTCTTTTGTTAATCTGTCCATTTCAGCACATTCTAAGATTTTATCTATTAGTTCTTCTTCGGTTGGGATTTTTTCCTGTTTCCAGTTTTGCATATGTTATTCGTGCTGCAGTTAACATATGTATCATCAAATATTTTATTTCTTTGGGGTATGATTTTGTAAAGATTCCTAACAGGAATGTTTCTGGTTTCTTTTCTATTTGCAGTTTTGTTATTTGTTCCATAACAACGAACAGATCTTAGTTTTCTTAATGTTGAGTTTCAACTTTTGCACTCTTTAGTTCCTCTTCACTTTCCGCCATTAGAGTGGTATCATCTGTATATCTGAGGTTGTTGATATTTCTCCCGGCAATCTTAATTCCAGCTTTTAATTCATCTAGCCCCATCTTTCTCATGATGTGCTCTGCATATAAGTTAAATAGGCAGGGTGACAGTATACTGCTTTGCCAGACTCCTTTCCCAATTTTGAACCAATTAGTGGTTCCGTGTCCAGTTCTCACTGTTGCTTCTTGACCCGCATATAGGTTTCTCAAGAGACAAATAAGATGGTCTGGTACTCCCATCTCTTTAAGAACTTGCCACAATTTGTTGTGATCCACACAATCAAAGGCTTTAGCATAGTCAATGAAGCAGAAGTAGATGTTTTTCTGGAACTCCCTAGCTTTCTCCATGATCCAGCATACGTTGGCAATTTGATCTCTAGTTCCTCTGCCTCTTTGAAATCCTCCCTGAACTACTTCTGGTCGTTCTCGATCCACATACTGCTGGAGCCTAGCTTGTAGGATTTTAAGCATAACCTTACTAGCATGTGAAATGCGTGCAATGGTGTGATAGTTTGAACATCCTTTGGCATTGCCTTTCCTTTGGAATTGGAATGTAAACTGACTTTTTCCAATCCTGTGGCCACTGTTGAGTTTTCCAAATTTGCTGGCAAATTGAGTGTAGCACTTTTACTGCATCATCTTTTAAGATTTTGAATAGCTCAGCTGGAATACTGTCTCCTCCACTAGCTTTGTTGTTGCTCAGATTTCCTAAGGCCCATTTGACTTCACGTTCTGGGATGTCTGGCTCGAGGTCAGTGACCACCTCATGGTGGTTATCGGGGATGTTAAGCTCGTTCTTGTATAGTTCTTCTGTGTAATTTTGCCACCTCTTCTTAATCACTTCTGCCTCTGTTAGGTCCCTGCCATTTTGGTCCTTTATCATGCCCATCTTTGCATGAAACATTCCCTTCATATCTCCAATTTTCTTGTAGTACTAGCCCTCTGTCAGCCCCAACGCACAGCCGCCTGTCAGGGCTGCCATTCCGGTGGGTGCGGAGGTTCTGGCGATGCAGCGGCTCCCATGGCACCCTAGCTCCTCAGCTTACCTCCTGGCCACCAAGCAACCTGAAGATCCCTCTCCCAGCTTGCGCTCTCGCCACTCATCAGCTGCAGGCACCGCTTGATGATGTGGTCGTCACCATGGCAACCTCCTCTGGATGTTTAAAACACTCAGACTGGCAGCAAGTATTTCTGAATGGACTTGGCAGTGAGTGCAGCTGGGAGCTGCTGACTGAGCAGCTGTTGAGGGCAGCTGAGAGACTGAGAGTTACAGAGAAGTTTGGAAACAGCTGTAATGATGACTAAACTGGAGAGGCTTGGAAATGGCTGGAATGCTAGCCAATCTGGAGGAGTGGCCAGCTGGCTGGGAGCATGCGGGAGTAATGCCTAATTGCGGTATCTAATGGAACAATGATTAATGAGTAGGGATGAGCAGGTTTAAGGGTCACCTGGGTGATAAATCTTTAAATGGTGGTGGGGAGCACAAAGCACTGCTTTAGACCTTGAGCTCCTGTTTTGAATTTTCAACTGTGTGTTTTTCCTCTTCATGTACATTCATTTATTTATGGAAAAAATACATGATTTACCGACTATGTTTCATCTTCTTCTGTTCTTAGGAGGACTGTCTACCAATTCCTAAATAATACTTATATCTCAGATGAAGATGATGGTGATGATGATGATGATGTTATCCATTCAGTCATATCGGACTCTTGGGAATTCTTTGGGCTGGGTTTCTCTACATCTTCCAATCTTGCATTAGTTCTTTGAGTTTTTCTGTGTTCTGGCTAGCGTCAGCTAACTTAAAGATACATTATTCTGGAGAAAGAGGATCATTTACCTGCATGTATAAATGGTCTGGATTCTTTTACTATACAACTTTGATTATTAATTTTCATGTAAAGCATGTAACCTCTAATAAAACCAGCGCTGAATTCTTGATCATAACGTCTCCAAGTTTCTGTTAATGAATTCATAGTGATTGTATCTATATTAAGTGAAAGGTAGTGTGGTGGTTCTGGAAAGTAGGAAATTGACATTTGCTATGTATCTTAGTCTATATCTTAGTCTATTACAATCCTTAGTCTTTACATTATGATTAAATTTTCATTTGTGTTCAGTGCAAGACTGCATTCTGAGAATTGACCATCACAAATCTTGAAAATAAAAATGGAACTAAGCTAATATAGCAGTATACCAGTATTTGAGTATTGATAGCAGTACTCCAATATTTGAGAGGCTGCCACAAAGAGGAGGGGGCCAATTTATTTTCCAAAGCACCAGAGGGCAGGACAAGAAACAATGGATGGAAACTAATCAAGGAGAGAAGCAACTTGGCATTGAGGAGAAGCTTGCTAACCAACAGTGGAACAGTGAAACAGTGAGGACAATTAACCAGTGGAACAGCTTGCAGTCAGAAGTTGTGGGTGCTTCATCAGTGGAGGTTTTTAAGAAGAGACTGGACAGTCACTTGTCTAAAATGGTATAAGACAGGGGTGTCAAACTGGCAGCCCATGGGCCGGGTGTGTCATGTGCAAGCCACGCCCACCCCAGCTCCACAAATGGGGAAAACATTGCGAAATATCACATGACGGCAACGTGATGGGGTGAGTTTGACAGCCATGGTTTAGGATCTCCTGCTTGAGCAGGGGGCTGGACTAGAAGATCTCCAAGGTCCCTTCCAGCTCTATTCTGATTTTGATTCTGATTCTAACTTTGATGATTAAGATCTGCTGACCAGAACTGATTATCTACCCAACTGTTCAAAACTGATTTGCTGATCAGCTACCCAACTGTTCAGCAATTATTTTCGGCTATCTTCTTCCCTATCACATACATGGATTATTAATATTAAGTCTCAGGATTTCTCCTAATTTTTAATCTTCCTTGCTCCCAGGGGTGAAATCTAAAAATTTTCACTACCGGTTCTGTGGGCGTGGCTTAATTAGTGGGCGTGGCTTGGTGGTCAGGTTACTGGGTGGGCGTGGCTTGGTGGTCAGGTGGGCATGGCCAAGTCGATGTCACTTCTTTGCCCTTTTTTAACCTACAAAACACAACACAACACAACTGGCTCACCCACAATGTAAAAGCAGCTGTGCTAGACCCAAAATGGCCCCTGCAACAAGCAGGAATCTCACACAGCCACAAAAAGCCCAAAAAACCAACTTTCACACTTTACACACACACACACAACACACACAACACAACTGGCTCACCTAATGTAAAAGCAGCTGTGCTAGACCCAAAATGGCCCCTGCAACAAGCAGAAACCTCACACAGGCAGAAAAAGCCCAAAAAAACCAACTTTTGCACGTTACACACACACAACACAACACAACTTGCTCACCCACAATGTAAAAGCAGCTGTGCTAGACCCAAAATGGCCCCTGCAACAAGCAGGAATCTCACACAGCCACAAAAAGCCCCAAAAACCAACTTTCACACTTTACACACACACACACAACACAACACAACACAACTGGCTCACCTAATGTAAAAGCAGCTGTGCTAGACCCAAAATGGCCCCTGCAACAAGCAAGAACCTCACACAGGCAGAAAAAGCCCAAAAAACCAACTTTTGCACGTTACACACACACAACACAACACAACTTGCTCACCCACAATGTAAAAGCAGCTGTGCTAGACCCAAAATGGCCCCTGCAACAAGCAGGAATCTCACACAGCCACAAAAAGCCCAAAAAAAACAAGTTTCACACTTTACACACACACACACACAACACAACACAACACAACACAACACAACACAACTGGCTCACCTAATGTAAAAGCAGCTGTGCTAGACCCAAAATGGCCCCTGCAACAAGCAGGAACCTCACACAGGCACAAAAAGCCCAAAAAACCAACTTTCACACTTTACACACACACAACACAACATAACACAACTGGCTCACCCACAATGTAAAAGCAGAGGCAAAAGGGCCCCTGCAACAAGCAGGAATCTCACACAGCCACAAAATGTCCAAAAAACCAACTTTCACACTTTACACACACAAAATTCCACATACAGCATTGTGAGATTTTGTGTGTTTGTGTAGTTAGAGTGAAACACTACAGAAACACACAAAATCTCAGAAAGCTGCACAAATATTATTTTACTTTACTTTATTTTTATTTTTATATAAAAGCAGCTGAATTTAAAACTTCCTAAACTTTAAATGGCTAGGTCTAAAAAAAGAACAACTAAAAACCTCCCAATTAACTATTTTTTTTAAAGCTCTCCAAGGGGAAAAAAAACTTACCCAACAAGGCAGGCAGGCAGGCAGGCAGGCAGGCAGAGCCTTGATAGTACAGTGGTCTAAGCACCCTATTATTAACACAGCTGCCTGCAATTTACTGCTGGTTCGAATCTCTCCAAGGCTCAAGGTTGACTCAGCCTTCCATCCTTTCTAAGGTAGGTGAAATGAGGACCCAGTTTGTGGGGGCAATAAGCTGACTTTGTATAAATATATAAAAGTATGAAGGCTATTGCTTAACACATTGTAAGCCGCCCTGAGTCTCCGGAGAAGGGCGGCATATAAATCAAATTAAAAAAAAAAAAAAGATAGAGCTGCTCACCGATGAGCTTGATTGCAGGCAGAGAGATTCAGTTGCTTGCTGATGCAATGGATTGCAGGGATTACAGCAAGCGAAGCAAGGCAGGCGTGCGAAGGAAAACAAGCTGGAGGCTGGGGGGGGGAGCGATTTTTGCTACCGGTTCTCCGAACTGCCTGCCGCCATCGCTATCTACTCGCCCGAGCCGGTCCGAACCGGGAGCATTTCACCCCTGCTTGCTCCCCTGTATCTGTCCCCTACCTAAGTGTGCAGTGCTTTGCTGAGACTAACATTTTGTCATTATGGCTACACTTAATTTTGGGACAATCATGAGAAAAAATATAGGAAGAAACACACTGGCTGATCAAACCTAAAAAAAAATATGCATGTACAGGTAGTCCTCAATTTACAAAAGTTCATTTAGTGAACCTTTGAAGTTACAATGACACTGAAAAAAAGTGACTTATGACCATTTTTCATAGTTATGACCATGCAGCATCCCCACGATCAAAATTCAGATGATTGGCAATTGACTCATATTTATGACACTCCTCAGGAATTATTCACTAACAAATTTAGTTTTTTCTTATCAGATGTAATGAGATCACTGGACTTGTTTGGCTCATACTTCTTCCACTGAAAATCACACGAGTGACATGTGGGCTGGTTGCACCACTCAATAACATACTGACTGAACTTTCTTTGAAGGGCCCAAGAAATATAGATTTCATGTGCTATATATAGATTGAGAATTCTTCCCCATAATGCACATTACCTTAAGAAATGCAACAGTTTTTAGGCATCAGCACCAACATCTCTAAATATCTTTCATAATATTTATATTTATATTATATTATAATATTTATATCAGTAGTGAAATCCAATTTTTTTTACTACCGGTTCTGTGGTCGTAGCTTGGTGGGCATGGTGTGGCTTGGTGGGCTGGCTTGGTGGGCGTGGCAGGGGAAGGATACTGCAAAATCGCCATTCCCACCCCACTCTGGGGCCAGCCAGAGGTAGTATTTGCCGGTTCTCCGAATTACTCAAAATTTACGCTACCGGTTCTCAGAACTGCTCAAAATTTCCTCTACCGGTTCTCCAGAAGCTGTCAGAACCTGCTGGATCTCACCCCCGATTTATATTTCTTTCACACAGCTTTCTGGATGAAATACCTGTATATGCTTTTCTGTGAGGACTAGGCCTCTACTATCTGTGAGGAGTAGGCCTCTACTATCATCTTAAAATGTCTTTCATAATATTTATATCCTTCTTTCACACAGCTTTCTGGATGAATTATCTGTATAGGCTTTCCTGTGAGGAGTAGACCTCTACCCTGTTTTCCCCAAAATAAGACATCCCCTGATAATAAGCCCAATCGGGCTTTTGAGCGCATGGTAATAAGGCCAAGCGCTTATTTCAGGGTTCAAAAAAATATAAGACAGGGTCTTATTTTTGGGGAAACACGGTACTATCACCTGGAAATGTTACCTATAACATTCTAGAAAGCAGTATATGAAAGCCATAAATAACCAAAAGCAAGATGGAATACAAACTCAAGGTAAACCGCTCTACAAACTCAAGGTAAACCGCTCCATACTCGACTGCAGAAAATATGACTTCAGCAACAGAGTGGTCAACGCCTGGAATGCACTACCAGACTCTGTTGTTACATCCTCAAACCCCAACAACTTTAACCTGAGACGGTCTACTGTTGACCTCACCCCATTCCTAAGAGGTCTGTAAGGGGCGTGCATAAGCGCACCAACGTGCCTACCGTCCCTGTCCTACTGTCCCCATTTATTCGTACCCATTTCCTGTATTCATATCCATGTTTATACTTATTCCTGTTATCTCGTACATGCTTGACAAACTAAATAAATATATAAAAATCAATATAAAATATTTATAGAACATCAATCCCCTCCCCTTTTTTTGTTTGTTATCTTATTGATTGCTTCAGTTTCTTGTGCTTACTACTTTTGCTTTCTCTTTGCACTTAGCACAATGTTGCTTACCTCAAAAAGGAATAGCGTGATGGATATATATATATATACATTTCTATACATCCTATCACATAAGTAACAATCTGAACTGGTCTCTCCACACGTCATCCTTAGTGAAGTGTGCAAACCAGTGTTTGCATTTCCTGCATCATTGGATGAGGAAAGCACATCTTTCTCTTTCTGTCCTGGCCACTTTTTACAGAGACATGACTGAGAGGGTTTTAACAAACTCCATCACCTTTTGGTTTGGTGGCTGCAGTGCCTCAGATAGAAAGTCCATACAGAGAGTGGTGAGGACAGCCGAGAAGATTATCGGAAGCTCACTTCCTGTTATTCAGGATACTACTTATAAGCGCTTTGTGCTCAGAGCTCAAATATTGTTAGAGATCCCACACACTCATTTCATGGTCTGTTTCTGTTGCTTTCCTCTGGGAGGAGGTTTCGAAGTAGTTCTAGCAGGACTACCAGATTCTGTAACAGCTTTGTTCCCTATGCCATCCGTCTGGTAAACTCACAAGATTTGTTTCTCTCGCCATGTATATGTATACATCCAAACTGGACCGTGTTGTTTCTCTGTGTCATATATGTGGATATATACATAATTTTGTGTTTATTTATTTATTTTGTCATGTTTATGTAATGTATATTGGAGGCAGTGACCCTTTGAGAGCTGTGTGCAACGAAATTTCATTTTAATGTATGCCGATTAGTGTACGTTCAAAATGACAATTAAGTTATTCTAAAGTCTCTCCAGCCATCAAACAATATTACAGACAGAACTGTAATAACTTGGCAAGGCTTTTCAGATGTGGCTTATCAATATCTGTTTCCTAGAGCTGAGAGAGAGTGACTGGCCCAAGATCATTCACCTGCCTTCGTGCCTACAGCAGGACTAGGACTCAAATCTCTGAGCTCTTTCCTTGGTGCCTTAACCATTGCACCAAACTGGTTCCCTCCAGCCCTGCTTTAGGGAGAGTGATTGACAACTGTTTTCTCACTTGCTCAGTGAGAAGGGGAAAAGTCTGAACAATCCACCCTTCACATTCTTTAAATCTGTAAGGACATGTCAATGCCAATGTTGATGTAAAGGGAGGGTTAGGAAGTCAAGGCTGAAAGTTTTAGGCTGGCATCCTTCATAGCTGCTGGAGGACTCCTGAATTGCACAAAATTGACTCATTGGCTGTGCCTGGTGGAGAATTTCTCTGGCACCCATTTCAGGATTTGAAATGAATCAGATCATGGCTCCGATCAGGACAGTGTAACAATGAAGTCAATAGTGTAGCTTTTCTCCAGCAGGCAACTCCACTTTGGTGCAATATTGAGTTCAGTGGGCAGAAAACAAAAATTGGCATCGGGACCCAACCAAGGATTGTATTAGCTTTTTTGGCTGTGGCCACACACTACTGGCCCATGTTTAAGTAATCATCCCCTAGGACTCAAAGGCCCCTCTCACAGTTACTGTTTTTGAGCCAGGTTTCACCTAGTCCAGTGATGGCTAACCATTGCGTGCCAGGAGGGGTGGCAGGGAATGGGGTCACATGCACATGTGCCCTCATCCATAATTCTATGCACCCTGCCCCCACGCATGCACGCATGACCCGCCCCTGCTCCCCCCGCTCCTGGCACATGATGGCCCAGTAGGCCCATTTTTCTCTCTCACCTGGCTCCAGAGCCTTTCTAGGAGTATAGGGAGGGTGAAAACGGCCTTCCCCACCCACCCCGGAGGCCAGAAATGGCCCGTTTGCCAACTTCCGGTGGGACCGGAAGGCCCGTTGTTTGCTGTCCTCAGCCTCCAGAGCCTCTCTAGGAGTCTGGGGAGGGTGAAAATGGCCCGTTTGCCAACTTCTGGTGGGACTTGCATCCCCACTGATATGGCTTAGCGTGCCACCTGTGGCACGCGTGCCATAGATTCGCCATCATGGACCTAGTCTGTACTTGTACCTTTGTTTTTTTCCTACCCAGGTGTAAAACCTTGCTCTCCTCCACATTAAATTTCATGTTGATGGATAGGGCCCATTGTTCAAATCTGTCATGGTCTGTTTGGATCCAGAACTTGTCTTCTGGGGTGTTGGCTATTCCTGCCAGCTTAGTGTCATCTACGAATTTGAAACAAGATGTACGGGTTAAATCATTTCTAGATGAATGAGAAAAATATTTAAAAAATCACTTGACTTCAAACGACTTGATTTCTATCTAGTGTTTTATTAAATAACCATGCCGTTTCTTGACAACATAACGGAAGTGGTTTGCTATTGTTTTCTTCTTCTTCTTCTTCTTCACATTTTTAACTTCTTGTCTGTTCTGCACTCCTGGTATGTTCTGGTCATCTCCCATTGAGCTCCTTGTTGGAGGAGTCAGCCAAGATCAGCCAAGTAGGAGGCGCTAAAATGTGTTTCTTACTTTTCTTTAAAAATGTGTACCTTTGGAGTCCATGGCGAGGTGGGGGTGGGCAAATGACAAAAACATGTCTGATCACCCAAAAGCTATTTTCACTAGAAGTTGGGACCAAGTATAAAATTGCAGCAGTTATGCGATTTGAGTCATTATGTGTTGTTATTTTGGTGTGATGATTTGCTGTGGATACCAAGGAATTGCATTTTCCTTATTTCCCCATCTTCGGGGAAACATACTTGAAAACTGTGTATAGAACTGACTTGTAATAATTATAAAGTAAAAAGTTGAGGTCATAATTGTATTAGTATTTTACTGTGTTGGAAAAGAGTTGGAAGTAACAACTTTTTTCTTCCCTTTTTAAATCCTGCATTCCTCTCCCTTTTTAATCTTTATTTTTATTGTATTTGATGCTATACCACCTTAATAAAACTTTGAAAAAAATAAAAGTGCAAATATCTAGGTAGGAGTAGCATTAGGAACAATTAGTGGCTGTAAAGAAATATATCTGGCTTCGGCAAAGCAGGATGTGCTGGTGGGTAGGGGGCACGGAAGACCCAGAAGGGGACTGCAACTAGGCTGACAATGGAACTGAACAACTGAGTCCTATGGCTGTCATGAGGTCAACCATACCTGACAATGGCCTTCCTGCCCAAGACTCACTGGGATTATCTGACAGTTTCTGAAGGGCTCTTATTGCCTGATGCATCTTGACTGGCAGAAGGCAATTGCAGTGGGAGGGCATGAATTGGGATGCTGTCAGGATTGCAGACATTTAATGTTAACAGTACTGAAACAGAATGTTACCAAGTGTCTTTAGCTATCTGAAGCAGAGCAGCCAATAGCAATAGCACTTAAGACTTATATACTGCTTTATTATTTATTTATTTATTTGATTTATATGCCGCCCTTCTCCCGAGACTCAGGGCGGCTTACAATGCTTTTAAACAATAGCCTTCATACTTTTGTATATACCTGCTTAGTAGGGCTTTTGGCCCCCCCTAAGCGGGGTTCTATTTTATACAAAGTCAGCTTATTGCCCCCACAAACTGGGTCCTCATTTTACCTACCTCGGAAGGATGGAAGGCTGAGTCAACCTTGAGCCTGGTGAGAATTGAACTCGCAGTAATTGCAGGCAGCTGGCAGCTAAATACTCCTTTAACAGTAGTTTAGTCCACTGCACCACCAGGCTCCTTTACAGCGCTTTACAGCTCTAAGCGGTTTAGTCTCAGCCTATTGCCCCCAACAATTTGGCTCCTCATTTTACGCACTTCGGAAGGATGGGAGGCCAAGTCAACCTTGAGCCTGGTGAGATTTGAACCGCCAAACTGCAGTCAGCCGGCAGTCAGCAGAAGTAGCTTGCATTACTGCACTCTAATCACTGTGCCACCATGGCTCATATACACCATGGCTCAATACTGGGAGAGCAACTAGAGAGTAAGAATCTGAATGAATAACTATATAGATTCCTCTTCTAGCTCATAATGCAACCAAATGATAGTGACTCATGTTGGTTATGCCAAAGTAATCCTCAGGGATTACTCAGGATTCGGGTCATAATGAATGAAGCCCAAAATTTATTAAAAACAGCCTACAGTATTTCAAAATTAAATTATCTAGGAATAACCATTTCCAATGGTAGAAACTAAGGGTTTTTTAAAAAATTCAACATTCAGTGTGAAAGGACTTTGGGAAACAAAGCTAACATTTGACAAACAACAAGACAAGTTTGTAAGGTGTTTAAAGTTCATTTTATTAACAATGTATCCCTTTGATAGGAAGATAATGCTTTAGGAGGCCTGTAATATCCATAGACATGAACTGTACACACTATACAAAACAAAACAAATTTCCAAACCAATGAAAACAACAAAAAAGAATCAAGGCGAGCCAAACCTTTTTGGGACAAAGCCTTTTTAAAATTATACACAGCTCATGAAATTGTCATACAGAAAATATATAAATACTTTTTTTTCTTTCTATGTTACAGGTATATAATATAAATCAGATTTCAAAGTTCATTCAATGACCTACAAACAATAGAACCTCCAAATATGTAGCAGCTTGTTAACTTATATGGAAAATTGACCATACGGGCTAGGGAAAATGAGTCTTTTCATAATCTCTCCCCCACCCACTCCGAATGACTAATTTACATAATTTCTAACCCAGGCATCATTTGGGTTATTGGCATCTATTATCTGAAGAGTATTTCCCCCTTTTTCACAATAATTATATTTACAAATTGTGTCCCCACCCGTCCCCCTCCCCGTCCTTGCATTCTGTGCTACTCTAACCTACGCAGTCGCAAAATGGCAGCAAGATACCCTTTTCTTTTTGGCATAAATTATATTTCCCCCCAAATTAAATAGTGTCTATTTTACAAGCAAGTCAGGCAAAAAAAGTGCACTTTCTGCATGCTGTAGCATTGCTATCCAGCTATTTTACAAAAATAGTCCTAAGGAAAACCACATTCTTTACTTTTTACTGGAAGTAAAAAGTTAACAGAAACGTGTAGCAAATCTGGAGTTTTAAGAATATACAGTAATCCTCACTAAAGTTCTAAAAAAAATCAAAATAAGGCTATCATTGCTAGATAACTTCCAACAGGGATATGTATTAGAAACAGATGATTATTATACCTCCAAGCTGTGTAGCTTCCAAGGTATATTAAGGGGGGGAACCTTGTCCATTTACAGTGTCACATTACCCCATTCGAAATGGCAAAGTACACACACACACACACACACACACACACACTCAAAATCAAAGGATAATTATGATTATTGCAAAAGAGATTATTCAAGGGACATTTTATTTTCCCGTGATTATATAGAAAGGATTAACATATTCAAGGCAAGATTCAATTTAAGCATTCCTAACCTTAGAAATGCTATCATGGGTTGGATAATGCCTCGTCTATCTGAAATTAATGTTCATGTTATAAACTGGTTATTAACTTTGCAAAGGCTTTGTTTTGTTATCCGGTATCACTTTTATACCATGTATAATCTTTCCATGATACCAACTGTGGCCCATTGCTTTCAACTATTGCACGTGAGGGTAGGGGATGAGGAATGCTATCTACTATTTTTGAGGATGATTGAGTTCAGGAAGCCTACTGAGCTGTGTGGCCAATTCTAATTATGTCATATCTGAAGAGCATTTTTTGTTGATTCACAATAGTTACTAGAACCTGTTTAGTAAGGTAAGTTCCTAATGGTCCTATTCAGGTAACAACTTAAATACTATTGGTCCCAAAATGTATGGGTACAGATCAAATGATCCCGTGTGCGCTTGCAGATAGCTTTTACTTGGCAAACATTGGAGGCCAACGTATGCATTTTATGTCCCCACAGATGAATATCTAAACCTCTCTTTTACTAATGTGACGTCTTTAGGTTTTTGACTTTGCTGTGGTTATAAAATGGGGCCTAGGATCATTCTGTGAGTGGAAAATGAAAAATGGAGCTTTTGACACTCCTCCACAATCTGTGATCTGAAGGACTCTTGGGAATTATATGAAAGATTGCAGTGGGAGAAGGGAGTTAGTAGAAATTGGGTGCTTTGACATGAGCAAAGACAAGATTCAATTCTATGTTCCTTGTAAAATACAAAATAAGGAAAAGTTGTTTCGTAAGCTTATGTTAAAATCAAGGTACTTTGGGACCTGTATCACTGGAGATGGAGATGCTGAATGTGAAGAATCAATTGCAAGTTTGATTATTCACACTGTTTATCCTTTCCCCTCAGGAATGCATCAGAAGGAAGATAGAAAATAACAATTACGCTTTATCATTCATAACTTGTTATCTCTTTCATTCTCCTTCTCCCACCATACATAAATACTCCAAGAAGGTCTCTTTAAATATCCCATGTACAAATAATTGCCAGTGTTTGTGGCTGAGGGAAGTGGATAGAGTGAGGTTTCCAAAACATAGCAACTTGATATGAGGGTCCATTCCAAAGCAGTCACAAGCATTAAACATCTTTGCAAATTATTTCATCGTTCCAGTAATGAGAAGGAGCATTTAGATAGGATTTTTATTTTCTAGTTTCTGGATTATGCCATCCAAGCCTTTCAAAATGACAAGGATATCAGGGTTGTGCATCATTTGAAAATTAATTCCAAAGAAGTGTTGTGAATCCCATACAGCAGAGGTGTTAAACTGGTGGCCCGTGGGCCGGATGAGTCACGTGCAGGCCACGTCCCAGCTCCGCAAAGGCAAAAAGCATTGTGATACATCACATGATGTCAAGTCACACAATTGAGTTTGACACCCATGCCATACAGGTTTAAGCACAGCACTTCCCAGTTCTTAGTTAAAACTTCTGACTTATAATCTATAATGCAAGTGTAGACTTCTTCCATGTTCTACTGTATTTACTCCAAATTTTGGGTTTAGTGATCAAGGAGAAATTGCTTCAGAGAAGTACCTAAGCTGAAAGCAATCCATCACCCAACGGCAATCAAATGGGCCTCCATAAAACTTTTCGTTCTACTTGTCAAGTGCAGAAGCTGTTGATCTGTATGTAGCTTTATGGGTATAAACAGGTTCATTACTGTAAGATGTCAATGACTGGTCATGTGACAGAAAGTAAAACGAATTGATAATATGTAAATTTCTACCCAGATTCCAGGTATATTCTGTTACAACAAATTGATTAACAAAATAAGTATAACATCATATAGATGCAACATTGGTTCAGATACTACAGCCACCATTGATTTGTATTTTAATGCAAAGACTCAAATTCCCTTAATGTTATTTTACAATTTTTGATGATGCTGTTGCCCATACAGCTAAGGTCAATTGATCTTGGGCAGTATTCTGAACAGAAACCAAAACTATTTTTTTAAATGTCAAAAAGTTATGTATACCTATGTATTATTATCTAAGTGGATATATTAGTACATTTAGCTGAATTTACTTTTTAATTTTCCACTGTAAGTAAACTGTTTTTTCAGTAACAACTATAGTTGAAAGCTGAACTATTTTTGTTTTAAAGAAATTTTTTCCATCTACTTTTGCTTTGAAATCAAAAATGCAAAACACAGAATAAATGAATTAATTTCACTTAGAGTTATCGATCTATAGATCTTAATACTCTATCATTACTGAGGTAGCATTCATAACTACTATGTACAATCAATTGTTTGCTTTTTTTTTTTACTGGAAGTATTGTATGAATCCTTTGGAATTTACACCACCATTTGGTCTACACTGTGGCTGCCATTTTGGTTCTGCACAGGAGTTTTATCACAGGAGTTTTATCTATGAGCAAAGCATCTCTGAATATTGATGGAAAATTATTAATGAACCCTGCATGACAAGCTAAAGCCCTTCCTTTATTTTTTCCTGACCCACTTCTCCCCCCTCCTATTTTTTCCTCAGGAGGTTCTCATAGAAATCAGGGAACTACTGTAACTTCATGGCTCTCCAGATGTTCCATAAATTATTGTAATGCAGTTTTGCCAAACTGTTGCGAGAGGAGAAGATGCTGAAATCTACTACAGTCTCAGTGGCACACACTTCTCTCTGGATTATATCTGCTGCTATTCCTAAACATAAACTTTATTCCATGGTTCAGAAACAACCACCACACCCATAGGAAGCAGAGAGCACCCATTCCCTCCTGTAGTCTCTAAACTAAAAACCTGAAAGAACAGGGGAAAAAAAAAATCCCTCACCAGTTTAAAATACTGTATTTAAAGAGATATTTCAAACCTGAGAATGAAATATTTGAAATTTCTCCAATTGCTCCTTTCCTCAGTTGTTGAGTTTCTAAATGGTCATTAACATAGATAAATAATATCAATAGACACTCAAATTTCATGTCTAGAAATGTAACAGCAAAACATTATGAACTCCCCCTTAAGATTCTTCAGCTCTGGCCGTGAATGGTAAAACTCCTTATGACAGTTCTCTAGGTTATCCATACTTAATTGTCTATGTACCAAAGTAATCCTTAGAGAGGATTAGACTGACTCAAATATTATTCTGATGTATCTCCCACCTAGAATGTTCAAAGCAGTATAATGAGGTAATGTAAACTTCTGCTTGGAGGTAGAAGACATATATATCCTTAAAAGGTCTTAGGAAGAGGAAGAAAATGCTTCATCCATAATAACTATGTTCCATATTCTTATGTAGAATGTCTTCATCTGGTTTGTGTGGGTTCTTATCCGTTGAATAACCTGTTCTTGAGATAAGTTAGAAGCTAGAATACAAATTAAGTCAGGTATCTTAGAGGTAACTTTCTTTTGGGAATTATAGATATGGATCAGAGTGAACCGACTCTCTTGTTCAGACAAGTATCTTTGTTAAGTTTTCTATTTCTCTAGAGAAATGCCATCCTGGAAAGTATCCCATCCAGTAGTACTTAAATTTGTGGATCAGTTACTATAGTTCCAGCCAAAATGGCAGGAAGAGAATTTCAGGTTTATTCTAAGGATTTGGGAATTGGTGCCTAATTCTTGTGAGGAGAATTTTTTTAAAAAGCAATCTAATGTCTTAAAAGCACCAGATGTCCTACCTGGCCGTTTCAGGGTGGCAGGGGAAAAAAATTGTTTTCAGTTTTATGTGTAATGAACTATCAATCCTGTTTCTTCAACTATGAGATTTTACTTATGATTACTAGTCCTGAAGATTCAATTTACAGATAAACTCTTGCTTCATCTTTCTTAGCCAACAGTATGACTGTAATGATGGCGTTTGCTTTCTTCTAGAACTGGAAAACAAAATCATATTTTGATATGACAATGTACTGAACCTAGACATTGCTAGCTTTCATAACGAATGCGAATGTATAGATGCCTCTAAGAACAAATTTATATATATATATATATGTATATGCACGTTAATTAGGCTCAATTAAAAATATATGTAAAGCTAATTTCATCTCAACAAGCCAATCGTTGCATACTTTTAAGGGGAGATAAACTTTGATGGACATATTCCCAGTACGGTCTACCTGAATTATTTCCATACACAAGAAATGACCAAATAACCCTACAGGTTTTGTAAACAAAACAATTATACATTTGTATGTACAAGTTTCCAGGTAAATGAGACTTTGCAATTTGGAAATAAATTCAATTTGTTTCAACCTCATACTTGCATAAATTTGATACTGGAGAGATTGGAAATACATATCATTACTATTACACAATTTGTGCTAATTTTATGGAAAAGACCTCTGAATTATAGCGATGTAACACTTCAACACTGCACATTTAAGGCTTTTCACTACAATTATTGGTATTATCTTGCCATTAATCTTTCATCTGTATGATTGAAGCAAATGATTAGGAGCAAATTTAAAGCCATGGAATGTGAAATTATTATTTTGCATTTTTCTTGATAAAAAGCAGCAATAAGTATTAATTTTACTTGATTTACCTGACATAAATTATTGTTTTTGAAGATCTACATTTAGACAATCAATCAATTACTGGATGAACATTAATGTAGAACACCCCATTACAATGCATGCATTTACATGGAGGTAAATCTAATTCCAGGGGAATGGTGGTTTTTTTTTTCTAAACTCAAACTGTAGTGAAATTCATTAATTGGTTCAGTTTAACATAATTACATGAAACTGCAACAAAACTGGACAGACTGCTAATATTATAACAATAAAATAAGTTAAGGTTACTCCCAAACCTACTGAAGATTCTCTGAGAGCAGAAATTGTCCAAGTAGTGTTCACAAAAATTAAGAAATATATCAAGGAAATCCCCTAATTAATCCCCCGATGTCATGGTTATAGCACGCTCCATTTATGACAATGGGATACAGCTTAAGATACCATGTCTCTCAAATCCAGGGTAAACAAGCAAGGCATCAACTCTGTCCAAAACGGAAGTCAAAAGTCAACCATGTAAACCAGGTCCCGTGTAATTTGTCCTCTATTTTTGTGACATTGCATTTAAAAATAAGTGAAATGAAAACCTGCATAAGTGTCTGGTGCTTCATTCTTCTTGCATATCTTGTTACTTTCATTTTTTTAACAATTCCCCTCAGGGCTCAGATGGCTTTGGAAGCAGATTCCATCGAAGAAAAATTCTACAACTGAGCATCCAATTTCATGTACCAGAATTCCTGGAACAATTCAGAAGATGGTACTTCTCTGTTGCCCAGTCAGTTAGGTGTTATTGAATGCTACTAGTAACTTCACATTTATTACATCATGGAAAACAAGAGGTCAGGATTCAGTTGATGGGCTATCTGTTTGTTGATTTGACACTGAGACTAAAATAGCTTCTGCTTCTTCATGCATCTAGAAGAAAATAGCATGTGCAGAGTTTTCAAAGCAACTTATATGGGGCACCAACTCGGTGCCCCCTTTTCCCAGAGTTCATTAGATTTTAATTCTACTCACCTGCAAAAACTGTACATCTTGAAAGAGTTCTTGAATAAACCGTCTAGATGGCAATCGAAAAGTGCAGTGAGCTAGCAAGTAGGATACTTCAGAGTAAAGGCATATATCATCAAATGCTTGGGGAAACTTCTCTTTAATTCTGGACCATAAAGAACAAGGAAGCATATTTTAAAAATGTTCCATGAAACCTGAGACATGGATCTGATATTTAGGCAAATCTTGAGAAATAAGCATTTGAAATAAAATACAAAAAAATACACAATGCAAATAAATTACAGGTAATCCTCGATTTAGGACCACAATTGAGCTCCAAATTTATGTTGCTAAGTGAGACATTTGTTAAGAGAGATGTCCATTTTATTATTATTCTGCCACAACTGTTAAGTAAATCACTGTAGTTATTAAGGGAGTAACACAGTTCTTAAGTGAATCTGGCTTCCTCATTGATTCTGCTTGCCAGAAGTTTGCAAATGGTGATCACATTACTCTGGGACAATTGCAACCATCATAAATATGGGTCAGCTGCTAGGCAGTTTGAATTTTTATCACGTGATCATGGGGATGCTGCAGTAGTCGTTAAGAATGAAAAGCAGTCATAAGTCACTTTTTTTCAGTGCCATTGTAACTTCAGTCACTAAATGAGCTGTGGTAGGTCAAGGATTACCTGTATAGGGCGTTCTTGACATATGACTCAACATATTGATGGTTCAAATTAATGACAGCCTCAGAAAGGGTGTTTTATGATCTGTAAAATACTTCCGACTGTTGCAACCCTTTCCCCCCTCCACAGTCATATGATCACAACCTGGTGCTTGGCAACTAATCCTCAGCAATTCTTTGCAGTCAACTTAGTCCTTTCAATTGTATCATTTCTAACGTATTATTGTGAGTTCTATTTTGAGGTACAACATAAGAAGTACACCTGTATGTAGATGTGTATAAAGAACTTGAACTGATTTGTGTGCAATATAAGAACAATTCCATTCCCAATTCAAAGGTAAAAGGAATATTACTTATAAAAGCTAAACATAATGGGAGAAGTTTCACTTACGTCAAGAGACCCGTTTCATGACCTTTAGTTCCTACTGAGCTACTCAAGTTGATTACTAATCGCAAAACTTCCTTTCTCAGTAGTATGCGGCATACTGGAGTATCATCTGGGATTGATTTCATGCCTTGAGAAAAAAAAATTTAACAGTATGTTAAACTGAAACAGTATTTGTACTGACTGAAATATCACTGGATAACATTGACAAAGTCTGCCATATATTTTAAAGATGCAGGCCAATGGGCATAAAAGCAACTGTCAAGTACAAATGTTATTTCTTCTGGTTCAAGTGGGCACACTTACTCATAAAGGGACCATGGAAAAACAAGCAGAATGATCTAAATCCCAATTAAAAGCCCAAACCATATATAGCTCTTCCCAAATGGGAACAAACTATTCTGGAGGTGACTATTGGATTAGGAAAAGACCCCATCTTTCCCATGTGCTTCATGTTCCCCTCCCCCCATCTTTTAATGTTTATGTTTATTGTTATTTAATGATTAATGATATTTATTATTTTATTATATTAATGTATACTAGTTTTAATATTTGTAAGCTGCCTAAGGTCGCCTCTGACAAGATGGGTGGCACATAATTTTAATAAATCAATAAATAAATATTGGGAAAAGATAAAAACAGAAATTGTGCAAAAAGTGGGAAAGTTAGTAGCAATGCCTGGATAATCAATAATCACCTTGATTATTCCAGAGTTAAGAAGTAAAGTGCAAAGCTGGGATTTCTGATGAAAGCATCCAACAGCCAAGCAACAAGAAGCATCAGAAGCAGCCTTTGGGTAAAATAACTCACCTATGATGAGATCAGTACTCTTGGTACTACTAGCTGATCCATGGGATACAGCATCACTACATCCTGAAATTCCAGAAAACTTCGAGGAATGTGAAACCACATCCAAATGATTATGCATAGCCTTTCCACACCAGTCTGAATAAGGAATGTCTGAAAATTCTGATAAAGTTTGATATAAGATAGATGGAATAATTTACACAGAAAAAAAAAAATCCAGCGTGATATACATAATTTACATAGAAAGAAAAAGACCAGCATGATACAAAACTGAATAACTTAGAAACAATCCAACCAAACATGAATTTACTATTTTGATAACAATGCACTAATAAAAGAAAAGTATTGTGATGATGAATTTATGAGGCAGGCACTATGGTTCTCAAAATAACAATAACAGTGAGAAAGGTTAGTTTCCACAGGATTTGCCACCCTGAGAAGTTAAACATTCAACGAAGGTTTCTAGTTTCACAATATTATGAAATAAATTTTGGGATTCTGTCTGAAGCAGCATCAGAAAATAGAAGCGGAATGGACAAAGCTTCCAGTCTTCTAATTATTGTAGATCAGATTCAAGTTGTCTACCTGACGCAGAGCTGGTAGCACTAACCTGGGTGGCTATATGCAGAGTTCAGTTTGTTATTATGCTGACAATCGAGGATGTGTGTACAAACACAATAGAGACAATTATCTTCAGTGTGTTCTTGGAGTCCAGTGTCTTCCATGTTTTCTAGGAACTGGGAGGCATCTGAACGACTTGTGTTCATAATCTCCGTAAGACTTATCTGCTGACGAAGCATCTGGAAGGGACTCTTTACAAACTCAGCAGACTCACATGGCAAACCTGGAAGCATTTGATTAAGCAACAGAAAATATAGAACATAATGGAGCAATACAACAGCACTTTCTGCAATTAATTGTCCAGAGTTGCTTTAAAATGAGATGGGCGGCAAATATATTTAATAAATTAATAAATTCCTATAATTCTTTTAAAGCATATAAAATAATAAGCCCACATCTAAATAAATTTCAATTTCAATTGTTAAGGGAATTGTTTGCTATAGCCACATAAAGTAAGCACACTGTAACAAATGTGTTTCCCTGTGTCTTGCCCAACACTACAAAAATGTTTTCAATACTTCATTTATCAAGATTCCAGAAAACATTTTGGGCAATCCAGTCCTCCATGGGGCATATTCTGCTAGTACAGAGGTGGGCAATTTATCTGCCCAAGGGGCCACATGAGAAATGGACTGTTGTGGTGGGCCCCACTGCCACCATGGCCCCTGATGCACACCACCAATGTTGCACCACTGCTGATATCCAACTGCAACCGTGGGTCAGATTGGGATCTGAGGGCCAGATGTGGCATAAAATGCCCAGACCTGTGCTAGTATAACATAAACCTGACTTTATGAGATATGCAAAATTAAGATGCTGTGAAATAATGTCCTACCGTGGATTACCTCCCTATATCTCATTTTTTGTTTGTATGAAGATAATTCCCTTTGAATATAAGACACAATATAAGCCACAATGCTTTCAATGTTTTCTCAGAAGTGAAAGTCCTGGAATCTGTGGTATGAAACATGACCGTCGTATTTCAGATCACAGGGCTTAGAAATCAGCAGTTGGGAATAAACACTTTCTTCCTAAAGAAGGAGGTGCAGAGTTTAGGAAAAGTGGCAGGTGGCCATGTAAGCCAAAAGAGAATAGAAAGAATACCTGAAGCATCCTGGGCAAAAACTCGACTGCCCCGATCATCATATGAAAGCATAGTTTTCTTCTGGAAATATGGGGTTTCTTTTACCTGAAATATTTTAAGCCAAAATATTATGCAGATCAAGTTTTAAAAATAGCCATTACTTCTGGAAATAGCTTCAGTGTGAAGTATCTAATATTCAACAATATTCCAGTAAGTGTAATAAATTGCAGTATGTTCTCTATATATTGCTAGGGGTGAAATTAAGTGTTTCATGTAGAATAGCAACACACTACTTATGACTAATGACTAATTCCCTCACTTAAGATAAAAATATTGTCCACATACCTGAAATATTTCATTGATGTCAACCGGGAGAGCAAGTCCAATGTAATCGTCTGAGCTACCATAGGTAGCATTAGACACCATGGAACGAACAGAAGAAGAACGCTGCAGTGTATTTTGGTTTATAGGGCTTAATAAATCTTCTTTATCTAAGGATGATGCATAGCTCAAAGCTCTCATGAACCTGTAACATGCAGGAGGAGCATATTTAGAATAACAGCCCTGGCTTTATTATGAGTACTATATTTTAAAATACCATGGCTAATTTTAGTTCAAGTACTAGTTTGGTGTAGTGGTTAAGGCAACAGGCTAGAACCAGAAGACCATGAGTTTTAATCCTACCTTAAGTATAAAACCAGCTGGGTGACCTTGTCATTCTCTCCCAACTCTAGGAAGAAGAAAATGGCAAGCCACTTCTAAAAATTTTGCCAAGATAATTGCAGGGACTAGTCCAGGCAGTCACCAGAACTTGAAGGATCATCCCAAAAGTTCAAAATCAATACACTGTTTAATATTTATCTGATTAAATAAAATAGAATTTCTGATGCTTCCTGAATCTGAATGGTATCACGCTGTCTATCAGAAGCTGGGACTTGTTAGGGGTATGAAAAGTAGGCGGGGGGGGTGTCAAATCAGAAAAGATGGGGGATACTAGCAGCACAAACCAAGCCATACTCCTTTTGTATGTGAACTGACATTACACATATGAACAGAGGTAGAATTTAATAGTATTCCTGCAACCATCTTGTTCTCTCTTTCTCTCTCCCTCTCCCCCCTCCCTCTCTCTCTCTCTCTCACACACACACACACACACACACACAAACTGTTTTTGTGATCACAGCAAAAAATAATTCTGCCATGGCAGCGCTCCCCTGTAGCCAGTATGGATCATCTGCAAATTTCCTAAGTCATTCTTCATTCATTTGGAATCATGCGCTACTAACACCTATAAAAAACAAGATAGCAAGAGCAAGAGCACTTAGACCAGTGGTTCTTAACCTTCCTAATGCCATGACCCTTTAATACAGTTCCTCACGTTGTGGTGATCCCCAACCATAAAATTATTCCTAAAACCATTGAAAATATGTGTTTTCCGATGGTCTTAGGCGACCCCTGTGAAAGGGTCGTTCAACCCCCCAAGGGGGTCGCGACCCACAGGTTGAGAACCACTGACTTAGACTTATATACCGCTTTACAGCTCTCTAAGTGGTTTTACAGAGTCAGCACATTGCCCCCAACAATCTGGGTCTTCAGATGGTCAGAGAATAGCTAAATGTAAAGTTATATGAAAATTATTAATTCACTTGAATATGAATGAGCAAGGCCATTCAGATTAGAGCAATTTCAGGACCTTTTAACTATACTGATTTTTCCAGAAATGTTCAGGAAATAGATAGCAGCAGTACCTTCAAGGTGTACATACTGCTAGTTGGTTTAATTGAAGCAAGAAAAGCAGCATACACATACACGAGATTTCCTACTACCAAACACAGACATCAGATATGTCTAGATATTTAAATCTTAATGCCTTTTCTTTTCACCTTTTTAAGCCAATGGACTTTTGACTGTTTTTTCCCAGCTTTAAAACTGGAATCCACTTGTTCTTGATCACACAGTTATTCTATCTGGTTTAAGCAGTGCTAATTCTCCCTTCACATCTTGACCCCTTACAGCTGTTTTAGGAGAGGTACAATATAAAAGTCTTCTTGAAAAACAGATGTTCCTCAAAATGCACCAGGACAATAAAGAGATCAGTATTTCTTCAAAAGATAATTTCTCTCCCATGATAACCCAATGTTAATGAAGTAAAGCAGAAGATGATATTACTCACCGGTTGGGCGTTAGTCGAGAGTCTAGGCTACCAGATTTCATTGTGATTGTGTCTGTGAAGAGTACATCCTTTGCTGGAGAAGCTAGGGCTTCAGAATGTGACAGAGAAGGATGCATCCTCTGCTGTTGCAAGCGTTTCAGGGTTGCATATCCAAATGCATCTCGAGAACTGGTGTAACTAAAATTATAGTCAGCCAGGCTTTTTATAGTAGCGAGGGAAGGAGCTTTTAGTGACTGGGCCCTCCGAGGAAGAGTGTGCGAAGACCCTGGCGGTACCAGGGAGACAGAATTTGATTTTGACAGAGGGAGGTGGTTAGACTGTGGGGTTGAACACTGAATTGTTTTAATGGTCTTGGTACTCACCACAGTACTTAAGCTCCCACAGTCAGTGTCTATATTGGTAGTATCCACTCCCATAGTCTCTCGGGAAGGGCTGGAGCTCATTGAACTTATGCCACTTGTGGTCGTGTCCGTATTGAAACTCAAACTACGACTCTTAAAATGTGTCTGCGTGGAAACTTCTATGAGTCTCTCCCGGCTGGAGTTTTCCCTGTGATTTTCATGGCCAAGACTTTTGGGAAGCTTAAGGTCATTTTCACCAATACTTGGAGTACTATCTGCATCTTCGCTGTGCTTGCTCCCAACAAATGAAGTTTCTAGTTTCAGAGTGTGAATCTTAGGAACCTTGAATACCGGGGTAAAGTCATCTCCCCGTGTAAAATCCATGCTGCTGCATGGTTCTGTTACTGTCCGGTTTCGCCTTAAGCCCATCTTGTTCTCCAAGGAAGACAGCTTGCCTCCTTTGGGATCACTGCTGCTCCTCAGCTTTTTATTGGGTAGGGTAAGAGAATTCAAGATGCGATTCCTGACAAGTCTGCGGGAGGAGAAAAAGGGGAAGGGATTGCGGTCCTTATCCTTCACGGGTCCGGTATGGTCATAGAGATTCTGTTCTGCATCTTCTGAGATATTTAAGAAAAATGTGCTAGTGGAGGTGCTGCCAATCCGGTCATCTTCCAGGATGAACATGCCTGAAATGAAAACAAACGCTCATGTTTTTGATCCACAAAGTTTTGGGTAATTAAGGCTAGTTCTGCAAAGAAGCTGAACATTAAATGAAAGCAACAAGTATAGGGTGACTTCTTACATATCCAAAGAGTCAGAAGAGTATTAAGAATCTATTGGGGATGAAAGGAAATCTTTACCAATATTATTTTACAATTAGGCCTATTATTGTTGTTAGTTGCGAAGTTCTGTCCGACGCATCGCGACCCCATGGACAACATTCCTCCAGGCCTTCCAGTCCTCTACCATCCTCTGAAGTCCATTTAAGCTCATGCCTACTACTTCAGTGGCTCCATACAGCCAGCTCATTCTCTGCCGTCCCCTTCTTCTTTTGCCCTCAATCGTTCCCAGCATTAGGCTCTTCTCCAGCGAGTCCTTCCTTCTCATTAGGTGGCCAAAGTGTTTGAGTTTCATCTTCAGGATCTGGCCTTCTAAAGAGCAGTCAGGGTTGGTCTCCTCTAGAACTGACTGGTTTGATCACCTTGCAGTCCAAGGGAGTCTCAGGAGTCTTCTCCAGCACCACAGTTCAAAGGCCTCAATTCTTTGGTGCTCAGCCTTTCTTATGGTCCAACTAATTAGACCTATAGCCTAGGAAAATTTCTCCTCCAATTTAGCGATAGAATACCTGGATTTCACTTCACCAATTAAAATTTTTACATAAGTGTTCTTATTTAAGCATGCTTTTTAGATCTATATTTTCATGTACTTCTGACATTGATCATACAATTAAGAAATGAAAAAAAAAATTTTTTTTTCAAATGTAAATTATGCTTGAAATGAGTCCCAGCATAGATTAAAAGTCCCATTGGCTCCTGTATCATGGTGCCAATCTGGATCTGCCACAGATTTGCAATTTACTTTTTAAAAAGCAAGCAACTGCTAGTTATATGAATGATTTCTGGACTAATGTTGATCTCAAGATCTTGGAAAAACTAAATCATCCTTTCCAAAAATGAGTTCACAGAGGTATGTACCTAGGTATTTCTGGCTAAGAAACTACTGATAGCTACTAGCAAAACAAGCGAACTAAATTCACCAACAAATACATCTCCGAAAAATAAAGTTTGCCTACCTCTTTGCTAATTTATGTCTGGATAAACACATTATTGACATTAACATATTAACATTAATTAAATTATTAAAATTAACATTATTTACCTTAATATAATTTGGCATTATGTTCCTTGTCCGCAATAAACCAAAATTATTAATTAGGTTTAAAGCACTTTGTTGTTGGTTTACAATGATTCTAAGCTACCTCTGCTCAACAAGAGGAAAGCAAAAAAAATAATAATAAAAAAAAATACTTATGAGATAGCATAACCTAATCTATATTGTAATTTGTGAAGTACATGCAAAGAAAAAGGTCAGCCTCGTAATCTACATGTTTTTCAAAAAAAAAAAAAAGGAAGACATTTGTTAGCTACTAGTGCTGCCAAATAGCTTACTTGATGGTGCAGATTCACTCTCGCTGTTATGTCTTGAACTGGTAGATTCAGAGTTCAAACTAAGAGTGCTGGGAATAGAAGAGAGTTCATTGCAGAGTTGCTCCACATCATCGGGAACTACTGGCCAAGGTTGCCTTCGACTGTGTCTTACTGCATCCCAATTGTGATGTTTCAGAATATCACAGCCTTGCTTTGTTTTCGCTATTAGGCCAAGCACATAGACACAGGTCCTGCATTTAGAAAATAAAAGTGAAATGAAAATCTATTATGAAGTTAAATTAAGTGGGAATGCAATGCAGTTGAACTATAAAAAAATGCTTTCTTTGTTCCTTTTGAATTTGCTGTCCCAGGTCTGCCTAGGGATTTTCAAAATAATCAATGCGACACCACTCCCCTCAGAAGACACTCCAAACATTACAACAGTACTCAAGTTTTTAATGCGCAAAAATACAGAAATACTAAATATATGGGGAATAATATCAACAGTTTTAATTAATATATTTCATATTTTTCCTTGCAAAATTACACCTGAATGAATAACTTTTTTTAACTATTTACTGTTAAATAGTTAAATTATTTACTGTTTAACTGCTTGGTTTCTAGACTTCAGTTATATATTTCCAGTATATTATTATGGAGACTGGAGATAGAATAGTTGGTAAACAAGAAACAATAACATACCAAGAAAGATCAGGAAGATTTAAAATGCATAGGGATTACCACAAGGAGTTTACAAAATATTTCATTTTAAAAAGATTCAAGGGCCAAACTTTACCCAATGTTCTAAGCATCAAATAGGCTACTTTAAGCTATCTGAACACATTTAGAACTTAAAACAGAGGAACTGTGCTTAAGCTCCAACACCTTCCAAATTGCTGAAAGCATTCAGTTTTGCATTAGGAAAGGATGCTCATGTAATTTTACTTCTTTGAGACACTTCAAAGTATAACGTTTTGCACAACCTTATTAACTAGTACAGACAGAAATTTTATTTTCAAGTTACAGTTAAAACACGAGATCTAACTATTTGGTATAGGTACCCTTGCTTAATGACCATTCTTTCTGTGATTGAAGTTTACCACATAAGACCTTGGGAAGAAGGCCTTGCAAACAGCTAGCAGCTACCTCATGAAGGGTCAGGTTGGGCATGCCTCATCAGCATTTGGAGGAAAAAGACGGCTGGAGTAGCAGAGCACAGAGTGGCTGGAGCTGTGGAGTTAAGGGTGATGAGAGCAGCTGTAGCTACTCTTTGCTAAGAGCCAGGCCTACCTCATCAACAGCAGGGGGAAGAGGAGAGCAAAAAAAAATAATTTAAAAAATGGCATTGGTTGTACTTTTAGATGATCCCAGCTGGTGCATTCATCCTAGGCTTGTTTGACTATTCAGTAGTTTTCAATAGCATCAATCGTGGAATCCTTCTGAGTGGCTCTGGGGATTATGGGTGGATGGCATTGTAGATGGTAGTGCCTGGGTGGGAAGAGACCCTGGAAATAGCCCCCTACTGTGTGGGGTACTTTTTTAACATCTACATGAAGCCAATGGATTAGCTGATCTGTCACCATGGGGTGAGGTATCGTCAGTACACTGATGATAAACAATTATACAACTCTTCCCCTGGCAAATTAATACATGTTGTTGATGTCTTATCACAACGCCAGGAGATAGTTGGAATCTGGATGGGGAACAACAGGCTTCAACTAAATCTTGGCAAAACTGAGAAGCTGTGGGTTTTTGAGCTTGTCGATTCTGGGACCATGCCATCTTGATGTTGGATGGGATTGCACAGCCCAAATAAAGAGCTGGTGCACAACAACTGCAACTGGGAAAGGCATGATTGCACTTATTGAACAAAGCAGACACATGGGCATCTTGTTGAACAGCAGCCTTGCTCAACAATCAAGATTCCGATCCCAATTGTGATAGTAAATCAAGGACTACCTGTTTAGTGCAGATCCCATCTGTTAAGGAGTTAAATCTGATGGGACCCAGGAAAAAAGTGTCTTCTGCTATGGCGCCCATCCTGTTGAACATTATCTCCCCTAAGGTGAGGTGTTTGCAAGCATGAGAATAAGCATGTGACAGTTAATAGAACTAGCATGGAAGGTTGCACACAAAGTATGCCAAACCAACTGTATCTCCTTCTTTGACAGAGTTACTAACTTCCTAGATTAATGAAATGTTATAAATATAATATACTTAGACCTCAACAAAGTCTTCAACGGAATGCTTCATGGTTATTCTCCTTACTTTTAAAGAAAGGCTAGAGAATACTATTGTTAGATGGATTCTTGATTGACTGAATGAACTCAAAGACCACACTTTAATAATTTTACATCAGCTGGAGGAGGTAGCTAATACTTCAAGATGAAAGAAAGACAATTCAAAAAGGGCTAGGCAATTTGAGAAGTGGCCTGAAATGATTAAGATGGAATTGAATGGAGAGGAATCTAAAGAAGGAAGAAAAAAAAAGAATAAGACACAAGTATAAGATGGGGGAGGGGGGAGGGGGATGGCAGTATGATAGTAATACATGCAAAAGCTACCAGGCATTATTGTGAATTACAGTCTAAGCCAGCACTGATGCAATTGCAAAGAAAGAGCCAAATGGTGTCCTAGGGTGTATTAACAGAAACACAGTTGGCAGAAAGCAATTGTTCTCTTCTATCATGCCTCAGTTAGATCTCATGTGGAATACTCTATCCAGTTCTGAACACTCTCTTTCAAACGGGATAGTGACAAATTAGAACAAGATCAAAGGAATGCTACCAAAATGGTAAAAGCAGGGGTGGGCTCTACTTACCTTTACTACCGGTTCGCATCACACCCGCTTGTGCCCGCGCTTGCTCTTCTGCGCATGCGCAGAAGCTTCTGCACATGCACAGTTCACCTATGATGATGTCCGGGTCAGTGGGCGGAGCCTCCTGTCAGTTTTACTACCGGTTCTTGCGAACTGGTCCAAACCGGGGGCAACCCATCACTGGGTAAAAGGTCTAGAAACCACCCTTTGAGGAATTATTAAAGGATATGGGTATATTGAGCTTACTAAGCCTCTTCCAAGGGAAGATATTAATCTCAAAACTGTCACTCTGGAGAGGAAGTGAATTTATTTTCTATAGTTTCTGAGGGCAGGACCAGAATCAATGGATTAAATCTGCAAGGAAGCAAGTTCATGCTAGACATCAAAAGGAAATTCCCGACTATACAAATTTTCAGCTGTGGAACAAATAGCTAGTTCTCCATGATGATGGTCTCAAGCAATAACAACATTTTAACTGAAATGTGAGCAATCCTTTGCTAGGGGCCTTCCAACAGTCTGAATGGTCATATATCTGAGATGCTCTACTAGATCCTGCAGAAATATCCTGAGAGGTTGACCTCTGAGGTCTCTTTTAGCTCTATGATGTCATGAAAATCTAAATATATTGATGCTCGGACAAAATAAACTGTTCACAGACATTTTACAATGTCTTTGGCCCCCGCGGAGAGGGCGCACAATCTGGGAGTCCTCCTGGATACGCAGCTGTCCTTGGAGGAACATCTGACGGCTGTAGCCAGGGGGACCTTCTGTCAGGTTCGCCTGATTCGCCAGTTGCGGCGCTTTCTTGATCGGGATTCCCTGTGCACAGTCACTCATGCCCTCGTCACCTCTCGCCTGGACTACTGCAACGCTCTCTACATGGGGCTCCCCTTGAAGAGCACCCAGAGGCTCCAACTGGTCCAGAATGTGGCCACGCGGGTAGTCACGGGAGCCGCATGGCGCTCCCATACAACACCTCTCCTGCGTGAGCTGCACTGGCTCCCAGTGGTCTTCCGGGTGCGCTTCAAGGTGTTGGTTATCATCTTTAAAGCGCTCCATGGGATAGAACCTAGTTATCTTCGAGACTGCGTGCAGCTACCGACGGCCTCCCATCGACCTGTGCGCTCCCACAGAGAGGGCCTCCTCGGGGTGCCATCAGCCAAACAATGTAGGCTGGTGACCCCCAGGGGGAAGGCCTTCTCTGTGGGGGCACCTACCCTCTGGAATCAGCTGCCCCAAGAGATAAGGAGAATCCAAGACCTCGGTGCCTTCCGCCGTGCCCTTAAAACCTTCTTTTTCCAGCAAGCCGGGCTGTCCTAACACTTTTTAAAATGTTTTTAATTGTCTGTTATTGTTTTTAATCATGGGGCCAAATTTATATATATCTTTTTAATTGTATTTTAATGTTTGTAGTTTATGTTTTTACTTGGCTGTTCACCGCCCTGAGTCCTCAGGGAGAAGGGCGGTATACAAATTTCTAAATAAATAAATAAATAAATAAATAAATAAATAAATAAATAAATAAATAAAATAAAAAATAAATAAAATAAATAAATAAATAAATAAATAAATAAATAAATAAATAAATAAATGCCATTTCCAGTTTTCAAGTTCTACTTACCCTCTGATACAAAGGACCTCACAATGCTGGGCAAGTGCCATTATATCGGGTATCACATTTTCCTCCTGAAGCAAATTCAATCCCCAGTTTGAAGAGCCAATATTTCCCTTAAATATAAATAAATGTCAATAAATAGAAAATCAAGGAATGTTTGACAAAAGACAGTGATTTATAAACTCAAAACAAATTTTGCATAATTGGTACACCTTTTCTACTTACATAAGTATCTACTTGAGCCATCAAAGGATATTCTTTTAAAAATATTGGCATCACTCTATTATAAATAAGAGTCCCTTGGGAGTTGGGCGGCATAGAAATGCGACAAAATAAAATAAATAAATAATAATAAATAATCTAATTTTCAACTTCACAAGGAATATGCTTTTTAAAATCCATTTAATCCATTTTATTACGCCAATAAAAAATATGGTTAATGTGGTTAGTATTACAGACTTGTAAAATTCCATTCTTCTACTAAAGGAGTCTTTCTTTGTAGAAATAATCAGAACCATTGGATTCAACCCACAGGATACCACATATAATACCAAACATTTAACCTTGACATCAACAATTTCTTTCCTGGATTAGCAACCCAAAGTCAAATGGATAAACCATACATTTGATAACAGTGTGATATCCATGACTAATTAATCAAGAAAAAATGGTGTTTCTTGTGATGATGCAAAGTAATTTTGGCAGCCATCTGCAGCAAGTTGGTTTTTTTTAATTTTCAGGAGAGGTTTGCAATATTGTCCTAATGTTTTCTTTGTGATTCAGGTAAGTGAAACCAGTTTGAAAGCTAAAGAAACCTTTTATTTTTTCCCACTGGAAACAAGTAGGACACAGGGTTACTAATGTTGAAAGGCTTGTGGCAAACTTTGACAATCTTTATTGGTTTAATAGACATAGACCAATGTAATCTCTAAATTTGTATAGTGAAAAAAGGAGAAACCATAAAGGCTGCAGTTATCGTTGCTAGACATAATTTAAAATTAATTCTTCTCCCAAAATATTTGCTTTTATTTTTTATAATTTGCATGCTTTCCTTCAAAGCCTCTTAGAGGAACATAAAAAGCCATCTTCTTAATGACTGTTTCAAAGTCCTAAATCCTTCCAGCTCATCTTCTATAGAAATATAACACAGTTCTGCTGACAATTATATTTTCATTCAGAAAGCATTTGCCTTCTTCTTAGTTCATTTGTCTGTCTAAATACAAATATATTATTTATAAGTTCCATTGATAATTTATTTTAATTATTTAACATTTTATTACTGGCTGCTTTAAGCATCATTTTTAGTTAAAAAGAAACAGAATACAAATGAAGTCTAATATGTTATTTCACCTCTCTATAGCAATTTACAAACATTTCAGAATAGAAGTAAACTGGTGATCACCAACTGATACTTAGTTGTAGATAGATAGATAGATAGATATTAAAAGATAGTAAATATTTTTAACTAACCAGTGCCCAAAGAGCAGCTTTTAGTTGCTTAATCCCCTCCCATTTTTCCAGCATAGGGGAACGGATAGTGTAACTCAGGTCAGGAACAATACTCTAAATAACAACAGCGACAAAAAAACAACAACCACAGTGCAATTTATTTATCAAGTGTTCAATTCTATTTTCATATGACAACAATGCTAATAATAAAATACAAATATTTATGCTTTTAATCACATTTTTACATCTTGTAGAGGCAAAACAATGTCACTGCAATGGAGGCCAACTATTTCTGTAGACTAAAGAAATAGGGATTAAAATATCAAGGGTGAAGGAGCAAGAAGCTGAAGTATTTCTTCTTAGCCTTATAAATTAATCCTCAGCAATTATTTCCATCAGTTAAAAGTAGAGAGTGCGTGCATGAATTCTGGCAGTTGTTTAACCTTATATGTGATTTCACAAATCCTGACTTGCTTATGTAGTCAATGCTGGGTAAGGCGTCAAATTGCCTTGTAGCGTGGATTATGCTACATACATCTGAATCAGTAATAGGCAAATAAATGCTAAAGATAGTGAAAAGAGTATAGCATTTAATTAATATTCATTTATTTGAATCAGTTACATTAAATTTCCTCACCTGAGCTTCCAACAAATGACAGCCAGTTTTGTGGTGTACTAGTTGGCCATAGAGGTGAACTGGCAAGTAGACATGTGGCCGCTGTAATCTGTGGGGAAGAAAAATGGTCGGTTTGCACTGAATTAATTGTAACAATTTTAAAACCATCTGCATAACTATAGGCATTGCTTTAAACAAATGAGTCAAGGTTGTTTTACCTTTGGTTGCTCCTACGAACATAATTATCACCATCAACAGGTTTGCGGTACGTAGTAAGTGCTTCATTTAATTGCTCTTCTATCAAGTCGACATATTTTAAATTGTATTCCTAGGATATAATGGAATTCAGAGATCTTCAGAAAAACATTTTCTCTAGCAATAAATTATATTTATAAACACATTATATAATGACAGCCCAGGTAACAAATGTTCCCTAACACCAATGTGATAAAATACTGACTGGAAGTTGATTTTATAATCAAAATACTTTAAAAGCATGTCTCTATGAGAGACAACAAGATTGAGCAAGATCAATACAATACAATTCCCATTGGTTCAGGTTCACAATTTTACAAAGTAAGTCTGACTATCCTATACAACTCTTCTATTTGGTTATAAATTTATTTTTCTGTAACCAATTGGAATAGTTGGCATCAATGATAATGCCTTTCCATTCATTCGTTACACCAGGATGTTCATTGTGCAAAGTAGTCAAAGGATAAGCTCTCCTATTATTAAACCCACACAGCCTCTTTCAGTAAGGCAATACTTCCACAGCAGAGGTGGGTTTCAGCAGGTTCTGACCAGTTCTGGAGAACTGGTAGTGGAAATTTTGAGTAGTTCAGCGAACCGGTAGTAAAAATTCTGACTGCCCCCCCCCCCACCCCCCAATCTATTCTCTGCCTTCCAAGTCCCAGCTGATTGGGAGGAAATGAGGATTTTGCAGTAACCTTCCCCTGGAGTGAGGTGGGAATGGAGATTTTACAGTATCCTTCCCCTGCCACGCCCACAGAACCGGTAGTAAAAAATTTTGAAACCTACCACTGTTCCACAGGTTATGCGGAAATGTTAATTTAGTTTCAGCAAGCACTTCTAATGAAAGGGGCAATTTTGGATAGACTAATTTGGAGAATATGGATCAAATGTAATTTTTAAAAATTGCTTTGTCTTTAAATCCCTTACTTTCCTTCTTCCATCCATCCAAACAATATTACATATGATTTACCTTCAAACAATTTTAATACTATATTACTTTTCAACATGGGCTGGCAAATAATTCTGATTTTGTGGATCACTGAGTATTGCTCCCCCAGGAGTCCTAGGACCACACTTTAAGAAATACCTATCTAAGAAGATTATATTCTAAGAATGATATTCTAAAAATACCATTTAAAATCATTTTTGTAAAATTAAATACTAAGTATAATTAAAACTGTTTAAGATTCTGCAACATTTTCATATATGCACTATATCCTCTTTGTAAATTGAGCTTGTGTACAAACTCAATCACTCTCCAAGAAATGTCTCTCTAAAATTTTAATTTGAATACTGTTAATTCCACTAAACTATTAGTTTATTCAAACTGATTACCCAAGATAGAATTTTAAGTATAATTTTTCCAAACATCAGCACTTCTAACCACAAGAAGTCACATGGAAAGAACTGAATAGGTACAGGTGGTAGTCCTTGCTTAACAGAACTGGGACCAGAATTTCCATCCTTAAATGATGTGGTTTTTAACTATATATCAAGTTACGACACTGTTTAGTGACAGAATATTCAATAGTCCTGGTTTTGATCATCAGACTAGAACTGCACTGTTGTTAGGCAAGGATCTTGTGCTTTTCCTGCCCTGCAATGCTCACTTCTGTTTAAACTCCACCCAGCTATTTATCTTTCTCCATGTCTGCTGTTTTGGCCACCTGCTGTTTTCTTCCTCTTACTGCCATCATAACTTTAAACAGTTTCTGAATGAATGGTTGTTAAGTGAGCCCTACATGTGTTTAAAATTATTCTGAAATCAATGCATAAATAGTCTTCCTTATGAGCCATTTGTGTCCTTAATATTTGTTGGTAACAAAGTAGGCTCAGATAAAGCCGCAGCATAATAGCTGACACACATATAACAGAGTTCCAAGGAATGATTCCAATTTGATAATTAAATACCTTCTGCCACTTCTCCATTTGTTTTGTTACGTAGCCTCGTTCATTTAGATAGGAAAACCCTTTGGGGATTGACAAAAATCTGAACAAAACAAAACAAAACAAAACAAAACATTGTTTATAAAATACATTCAGAGCAAATGCAAATTAACTACCTTGTTTTCACCTGAATAATACAGTAAATGTTTACCTTAGCAGCAAAAGCATACCCTTGTCTCCTAGATGAGAAAGTGCTGGTTTCATTTGAATGAGGGCATGAAGATTAGCCTAAAAATAAGAAGACAAGAGGGACAGAGTTAATGTGGTATAATAACAATATAGTCATTAATATAATATATAAATAGGATTAATATAAAAAATAAGGCTTATTTCTTCTTCAACTAAAGAACAAAGAAAAAGTCTCACCTTGTCTTCACATGCTTCATCAAGGATTTCAAGTGCTTCAGAAGAAATTGCTTTATTTTTGTCATGAAGCTGTGTGACAAGTAACTCAATTCCCCAATTACTGAAGAACTCCACATTGGCCCTCAGAAGTACTCGGAGGTGTTTTGTAGCATATAACCTACAATTCTATGAAAGAAAAAACAAACAGATCATTGGAAAACCAGAAAATGGAACATGATTAGCAATTGGGTTTACATACACATGTCATTGTACAATTAATGTTAATTTCAAATCAAAACCAAGATTGGAGTCTACTTGAGCTATAAGCTTCTACCTTCCATAACATTTTCCCCAAATATAATATATTTAATTGAAAGAAAATTAGAAAGAAAGATTAGGTCCCCTGCTCTAATATTCTCCTTAGATGGGGAGGGGAAGAGATAACACGAGTTTCATTGTAACTACAGTAAAAGACACAGACAAGCTTTTTCTATCAACCTGACAGTGTTTTTTTTTTAAGGGGAGGGAGAAAGAGATTTAATTCAGAATCAGATTTCTTTGGGCTAAATATGACATGTTTAATTTGTGAATCCCTTTGAATTTTCAATATTTCTGCATAAATCTGATCTAATTTAATTTGAGCAGATGAGTAAAGTACACCACAGCAGAAATGGAATTGACAGTAAATAATTCCCTGAGAAATGTATAATCTGGCCACATATAACACGGATTTATAATTTCATCTTTTTCCATGGCTTTTATTACTTTTATTTTTATTTAGCATGATTCACTGTATTTTATTGTAACTGAATTTATTTGAAATTGGTTGTATTTATATGATTTTATTATTATGTCGGTATTGTGTTTCATGGCCTAAAACAGTTGAGTAACCATGAACTTGACAGATGGCTAAAAGCAAATAAATAAATAGCTTACTGTTATAAGTTTATCTACAGTATTATGATGTATTTATCTCTTACCATCTTTCAGGACATTCCTTCATAAGGGTATGAAGGGTGAAAGAAAATGGCTGACTCAGGTCACCCAGTTAGTTTCAAGCTTATGTCTGAGAAAGGATTCAAACATAGTTCATCATTTCAGCTTCTATACCATACCATGAAAACATGAATAAAATAATCTGCCTTTTACTTACATCGGTTGATGCTGTTAGGATTTTAGAAAGGATGACTCTTGCTAAGCCATCTCTGCTATAGTCTAAACTAGAAACTGTCAGTTTGAGTAAGTGATCTTGATTCTTCAAGGAACACAGATTAAGGAGACTGGAAAAAAATGAACAATGAATAGAATTCTAATAAGATATGGATATATGCTTATAACTAAAACAGAGTCTAAAAAAATATAGTCCTAGTTAAGAAAAGCAGTGTGATCTCTACCTAAATTTCTTTTATTTCCCTGTTCTTCAATTGATGTCTCTGCTACTGTTGAATTTTGAAATTACTTGGGCCAAAGAATAACTTTGTCTAGGTTACTTTCCAATAAATTTTACGTATTTATTTATATGCATTCTATAGCTGCCCATCTCAATAAGTGACTCTGGGCAGTATACATCATAAAACATATACTGTAAGAGTATTATTATGGCATTTAAACAATACATATTGATTTTTTTCCACCATTTTTCCAGGGGAAATGACAAGTGCTTAGCTCTCATTATATTCTATAAATATGAAATGTTTATTCAGAAAGCATTAAGAATATATTTATCTTCTGCAACAGTCTTTAAATTGCTGGTAACTTGTGTTCAACATTTTTACGAATAAAATCTAAAATAACCTTGCTTCTCCAAAAATAAAAGAGTTAATGTCAACTAGTCACAGCTAACTATAGTTTACCACACATTCAATGATGACACACATTAAGATAATTTCTATGTTTAAGTTTCTGGAACCTCAACATTTCAAAAACTATTTTTGTAACTAAATACATACCACTGAAATACATTACACTTTTCAAGCATTTTCACTCCGTGGGGATGACAGGAGAGGGTACCAAAAAATAAGAAGTAGTGCTGACTAAGCGTGTTAAGTAAACCATTGTTCTGGAGACTGCGTTCTGGTTTCAGTCCTGAAGAAATGTTAAGCCAGTGCACAATATCTCTTACTAACTCTTCGAGGTAGCCATGCCCATCCTGCTTTAAGAGGAAAGAACAAAAAACTTTGTTCAGGTTACTTTTAGCAAAGTTTCCTTGCTTAATGAAAATAATACATTTTAACTTTTCTGGGGTATAAAAACAAACAACTGCTGAGTTCCCTAGAAAAGCAAAACAAAAGGTAAATATAAAATTTCTAAAACGCATGACATTTAAAAATCTGTGCTTAAATAAAATGATATATAATACAGAAAAAATACAAAAAAATGTATGCGACAATGCTGGGGAGTTGTTTTTAAGAAATTTAGATTACATGTAAAATGTAGAGACAGTCAGTCTTGATAATGCCTCAAATGATTTTGACATAAACGGAAAGTCATTCCTATGGTGATTATAGCAGTAATAAACATAAACAATCCACAGGCAATCAACGTTTTTTCCAAAGCTAACAATGGAAAGAGAAAGTGCCAAGTCAAGACCAGGTTTTTGGCAAAAGTGAACTTAATCTTCTGTTGTTTTCTTCTACACGTTGAGTTTTGTCAAAGAAAATCAACCCCCCCCCCAAAAAAAACAAAAAGGAACTGGAACAAACAATTCTGATTTAGCTTTTGCACATCACAGAAAGTTAGGAATGCAAAAGGTGAACATGTAGAAATTGTAGATAATTGTTAAGTCTGTATCTACCTTTTGTTGCACCTGCCTTCCTTCCTTCTTTCCTTCCTGTCTTCCTTCCTGAGGGGCAAAAGGGCATGTTGATTGACTCATGTATCACTTCCACTCAATATTCTGAAGCAGATCAGGCCAGTGCATACTACCTTTTAAGTTTTAATTTCTAAATGCATAATTATCTCTTAAAATGCATCTTCTGAAGCATGAAAGAAATAAGTTTCTTGGCTAATGTATCAACTAAGGCAAGACTTAGGAGATATAACTAGCATTTTGTTTGTTTCTGAACTGTTTGCAATTTATGTGTTTATGTGTTTTGATTAATAAACTTTGAAATTGGTTGGTGTGCATTAATTAGTTATTTTTTATAACTAATCTAATGTGGTTGTTCCAAAACATTGTGCTGCCTCAGGTGTTTAAACAAAAGGTGTGGCATTACTATTTGACAAGCAGTCAGGCTAAGTGGAAAATCTAGTTAATCAGGCACCATTTAATTACATTTTATATTCCCCTGTAGTATGAAGTATAAGAAGAGGAATAATCATTTCAAAGAATTTTGCGCATGTCACACTCTTTTAATTTTAAATTTACTGAAGCAAAGCATTACCAATATCTTTTATATTACATGTTCTACAATGACCCAGAAGAAGCAATATATTTTATGAATTCCATTTTTGTCCCCAAATTATTTATATTTCCTACTTAATTGTAAAGGTTCAGAATTAAATTCTTCCACTGAAATATTTCCAGTTTCATTAACCTGGTAAAAATTGTATGATTTTGCATTTAAAATACATCAAACAGGAATCTGCCAGTCTTTAATTATGGCTAAAAAAATAAATAAATTTTACCTCTTCAGATTCAAGGAGAAATTCAGTAAATTGACAACCAACAACTGTGAGCTGTTTTGATTTTGCATAATCGAGATCTAGATTGGCATACAATTTACTGCTAGGCTTATAAAAATACATCAGCCGCCGTACAAATCTAACATCAAACAAAAGAATGAGGCAATTAAAAACACAATTAGAGGCTTCTGATAATGTATGTACCTGTTTATAGTTATTTATATTACAAGATAATAGTTTCATCAATCTTAAATCAAAAGGAATTTTTTACAAAATCTGTGACATTAAATCTAACTTGTCCCTGAGGTCTATTGTCAAAACTATACTCAATAGCCTCTGGGGAAATGATAGAGAGAACTTTTTTCTGTTTTGTAAGACATTTATTTCAAGAAATGATTAATATGACCTCTGTCACTGATTCTTCCTATTTCACAAATCTTCTTTCTTTATTCCAACAAGGATTTTTTTCAGACTGAGGATTTTTGTGCAGTAATCCTTTATTTTAGTTGTTCATACCTGCAATCTACTGCAATCTCAATTACAAACATATTAGATATATTAAATATGCATTTTAATAAATGAATAAAAATGAATCCTTCTGCTATCCCCAAGAGGAGCACGTACATTAGTGGATTTCCTTTTCAAGCAATACTTCTGAACCCATGCAAGTAGGTGATTATTATATTTTATATTACAGAAATGGTAGCAGTAACTTATTAGGAAATCTGATGCATTTTATTTCTCTAACAACATATAAACTAAAGATGTGTGTTTTCAACTTTGAATTTGTTAAAATGTTTAAATCTAACAAATCTTTCTCCTTTATGTTGCTTATCCACAAATGTGAACCTACCAACAACTTTTCATATCCCTTCAAACTTGTATAATCTTTTTCTTGAATAGACAGGATTCAATATGGAATTTTGAGAGGAATATATTATTTAAAAGTAACCAGTCAGAATAAGCTTTTTTTAATTGGTGGAGGAAAAAAGAAATTGTGTGCCATCTTGCACTTACAGAATCTGATTTTTAATTAAATGAAATATGTGAGAAATATAATGTAACAAGTGCTTCTCAAAACAAGAGACAGTTCTTACTGAAAGTTATAAAAGTAGATGGGAACTGTAATATTTCAGGGTCATCACAGGCTATGAAGCATGGTGGGCATCCCATTCATTTTTTTTGTAACTCAAACCTTGTCTAACCAGCTAAATTTTAAACCATGTAGGTGTACATCACTATGCTTCTGCATGAAGTTTTAGATCAGAAAATGGCCAACAGAATACTCATATAACTGGAAGCATTATAGAGATCCTTTTTTATGACATGCTCTGTGATAGGATCTCACAAACTCAGTGGCTAAGACAATAGTATAATTATCATTTTACTTTCAAAACCTATCCATTTGTTCAACACCCTTAAGAATAACTTCTTATATCTTTTATCTATTACAGAGGGCTGGTAGTTTAGCATCTGAAAATAACTGTTTACACCTGTTTCCTTCTTATGTGGATGCCACACTAGATTTATGTTTCTTTCTGGATCTAAAATAGCTGAAAATAGTTTCATTTACAAGAAGCTAAATTCAAAATTATTGGAGGAAAAGACAATATAATTTCTTTTTTTTTCTAATGTATCAACTGCTGGCTAAAATGTTACAATAACAAAAAAAGCCCAAGACAAGATGAAATGTTTTTGTAATTATTTTTGTCGACATAGTAGTTTCATACCTGTGCAACTGTTCATCCTTGTTAGTCTTTAAGTTAATATTTGGCCACTAAAAACAGCAAATACAAAGTATGGTAAGAATTATTTCAATTAATTTCTTGTATTTCAATTCTTAAATGTTAATTGTAGTATCTTCATACTGTACATCTTACCTTAAGTATGGTCCCTATCAGATTCCAATTCCATTCCAGATTTTCTTTGTGATGAAGAACTTGGCTATCCCGCAGATTCATTAATAGTGCTTCTTCAGTATCCTTCAACAGCAGGGAAGGGAAAAGAAAAATAAATTAATCCCACTGTAAAGTTGCCTCTGCGTTACTAAACACATTTCAAATTAACCATACCAAAAAAAATATTTTTTTTTAAGGAAATAAAACCCAAACCTCAGAGTTGAACTAGTATCTAGTGAGACAGGCTCCCATGCAAATGGGAAAAAAAAGTTAGCTTAAAATGACTATCCATTATAGAAGGTTTAGGTTAAAAATTAAAAGTATTATGTTCTTTTGATGACAAAGAACCTAGATAAGTCTACCTTAAGAATAAAGATATCTTTCTGCACGCGATACTGATCTCTTCGCTGATGGGTTGACATCGCTTTCTGGACAATGTGATCTAGATGAAGACTGTAAGGTTTAGGGCCTCTTTTCTTCATTTCATGAAAGCGTTTCAAGCAGTTCAATGCAGCACTGGCTCGTCTAGCAGAAGAACATGATAATGTAATTACTGTACTTAATAAGGATCTAAAAGTATATTGGTCTTTTTCCTGTAAATCTCAGGGATTTTTATGCTGAAATGGCTTTGTAGCTTGTTGATTTGAAACCACTACAAACCAAGTCCCATTTCAGGTTAGATGAAATGGCAATTATGTTGCTCTGATATTCTTAAATATGCAGGCTTTGGATCATTTTATTTGTTTCATTAACTAGTAATTATCAAATACAGATAGTCCTTGAATAACGACCACAATTGAACCCAAAATTTATGTTACTAAGTGAGACAGTTAAGTGAATTTTGCACCATTTTACAATCTTTTTTGCCACAGTTGTTAAGTGAATCACTTCAGTTAAGTTAGCAACATGGTTGTTAATTGAATCTGGTTTCCCCATTGACTCTGCTTGTCAGACTGTCACATAAGGTGATCCCATGATCCCATGACACTGCAACCGTCATAAATATGAGTTGCCAAGCATCTGAATTTTGATCACATGACCATGGGGATGCTGCAACGGTAGTGTAAAAAATAGTCATAAATCACTTTTTCCACTGCTGTTATAACTTTGAATGGTCACTAAATGAACTGCTGTAACTTGAGGACTGCCTGTATAAACAAAATTACTTGAACGTAATTTACATGTAGTTCTATAATAATTGATTTTGCAAATTATTGGTTCTTACACCAAGATTTAAGACGACTGTCTTTAGAATAATTATGCGGGAGTATTAGCGCTTCTAGGGTTTGCTGCAGTGGAGATGAAATTGTTTAAAAAATGAAAATACTATTTAAGGATACAGCATTCAACTTACATAGTTCTAATTCATGCTTTGAAGTCACAGAGAAATAACTCCTGGAAATGTTAACTAATAAAATTGAAAATGATGAAAACAAAATACAATTAGCTCACTACCAATAGTGCTCTCTAGCCATAAACAGAAAAAAAGAGAATGAATGCCAACTGGCCTTTGAGTAAGTGCTGCTGGTGTAGAAATATGCCAAATAAACTTTATGAAAGATGTACAATTTAGGCAAATACAGTGGATTCAGAAAGCATTCAGACCCTTTCACTTTTGTCAATTTCATTATGCTGTAGCCTGATTCTACTGTAGAATCAGGCTGCAGCATAACAAAATTGACAAAAGTGAAGGGAGCCTGAATACTTTCTGAATTCACTGTATATGTTGTTTGCTTCACAGAATATATTATAAAGTGTTATGACTTTTGGAAAATTTGTAATTTCAAAACAAGAAAACAAGAAAGTTATATTAGCTTTCTTTTGAAAATACACACAATCTGTCTTAACCACAATTTTGGCAAAGGAAATTTTCAGATGAAAAGAATAATACAAGGAGCAAAATCTGCTCAGCAGTGTTATTTATACAACTGAAGTTCCTCTGCTGATGGAAAGCTGTTTGATAGAGCAGGGACTACCATCAACAGAAAAAAGGAAGAAACTTTCAGTGAGAAGTAATTCTATCTCTCTTTCTGAACTCATCAGTATTCTGTTTTGATAAGTAAAATGTTTGATAACTAAAATTTATTCTGATGTGCATGAAAGCTGAATGTATACTTTTAACTTAAGTGTGTATCTAAGCATATTATTAACATTTATGCTTACAGTCTCTTCTCCTTTACAATGTCAAAAGAAGCTGCCATATTCATTAAAGTTGGTAAGCAGTGTAAATGATGGCTGTGACAATGTGGAAGAATGGTGTTCGCCTGAAAAACAGAAACAGCTTTAGAGTTTTGAAACAAAGTTCAATTTATTCCACCTACTCACTCCAACCACCCTGTGCAACCTGTTTTATTCTAATGATTTAAGACCAGAGCTTACTTCAAATAATATAAAAAATACATTATTTTAAAAATACAGAATTGGGTTGGGGGGAACTATTGGAAAACACTATTTTCTAACTGCTTGCCTTGCTTGCAGCAAAGGAAATAGTCTATTAGATCTCACGGTAAAGCCATTCACAAAATATTACCTATTAATTAAAGCAGGCAACAAGCAATTGGTTAATCCTAATCTAAAATGGACAACTTGCTGAAATGATGAATTATGACCTGACAAAGTTACTTTAGTAGAGGGAGATCTCAAGTTAAGAAAAGAAACTTAACTGTATTGTCTTAAACCAAGAAGAGAGATTTTTAGGAACATCAGCAATGGATTGAAAACAAGCAAGGATTTTACAGTAAACTGTCCACATTTTACAGATTAGGCAACTTTGATTTGCCCCTTTTATTTTAAGATAATAAAAGAGGAAAAGTTATTTTTGTTACTATCTTTTTTGCTAAAATAAGACAGCAACTTGATTGTGTCTTGGCATTGTTTTTTAAGTTTTGAACATTATTTCCTTCTCCTTTACTACTGGAAATGAAATCCAACATTTAATGCCTATTAAATTGAATATCAGCTAATCAGCTAATGAAGGTACGGTAAATCTTTCTTACCATATGCAAAAGTTCCCCCAGTAAGATAGTTGCTCTGACAGATATATGATCATTGCTGCTTGTGATTACTTCAACTAGACCCTGGAATAATTAAGAAATAAAATTCTAGATATGTAATGCATATGGTGCATATACATATGACATCCATGTTGCTTTACATGGTACTAAAGAATGGAGTTTTTTTGCAATTTAATTTAAAATCTGAACTTACTTCTAAGAGTCCATTTCTAATGAATGCAGAGAGAACCAGGGCCAAGTAATTGTCCATGAGGTCAGGCCTGGATAAAATAAAAAATAAATAAAATAAAAAATGACAAGCCTTCATATTGACTTTTTTTAAAAGAAAAATATATTTCAATCTATTTCTTTATCAAAGTGAGGCAAAATGTGTATTCTGCTTGGGTGGGTAATAGTTAAGTACCTGGATCTGGCTCGGTGAGGTAATATAACTTTAGCTTCTGCAGCTACAAAGCCATCAGAAAGTCTCCAGCTGTCCTGAAAATGGCTTGGATCTACACAAATAAAAATGTGGAAAAGTACTCTAAGTTTAAAGATGGGCAGCTGAAAACCCTGTAAAATTAGGGCATGGCATTTCTCATGTGATTCGGCATATTATTTCTCACTGTTTCCTTAGCAGTTCTTCCTCCTATTCTGCAGTGCTGGGAGAGAGTTCATGCTTGCCTTGCAAACATCATAAAAAATCTTGAGTTTAAAATCTTTCATGCAGGATAGTGATGGTTCAAATATAAATTATTTTTAAAAAGCATTTCATATATTAGCAATTTAGACAACAAATGAGGGGCCCTTTATAGGTCATAAATAAAATGCTTAGAGCTCAATGTCACAATTCAGGTTTATCAAAGAAAGATTACTACATAAGTATTGCAATTCAGCTGTGGTTAAAGTTCCCAATACAGCACCAGATAAAGAAATGCTCCTGGATCTTCCAAGCAAACCCCATGGAGCCTTTCCCCAGGTCCAATACTAACCTACACTGAGAAGTGCTTCTATAAACTCTTCTGTCACAACAGGAAGAGGAAGGCGAAATATATCATATAGAACTTCAAGCAAGCCTCGCTGTAACATAAACAGGAATAGGATTACAAAGATGAGCAGAAATATATTTATATGAAGCTAATATCAAAGAAATACAACTCAGGCATTAAAAAACTTGGACTACCTTCTTCAGGGTATAGCTGATGTCCTGTTATAATTGCCAAAATTTTAATGGTTTATTAAACATTTACAGCAGGAAATTAGTTTTTAAGCAGTGGGCACATTATGAATGCTGAGAACATGTGATAGATCTACTGACACTCTGTCTTGGGATGGGGCTGCCCAATCACAAAATGGCTATCTTGGTGGAACATCTAAAGCAACAACCGTTACAAGAATGTGACTTGGCAAATGTGGCTCCCTCTCCCAGGATACTTGGTACCAATCTGATTAATTTTTCTTTTTCTAAAGAGGAGGGAATATTCAACAAAATAAAACACTAGATTGCATATGATGTACATCAATACTAGCATGTTTTAGGAGGGTTTTTTTTTTAATAAAGCCATCTTTTTATAATGGTCTTTCCCAGCCATTAAACTTACAGTATCTCTAGATTTAATCAACTGCTTTTATTTTGTTTTACTCTGATTTTTTTTTTTTACGATTATAATAAATTGCTTTGGGGTGCTTTGTAATAGAAGCTCTAGAAACACATTTGTAATGAAAAACATAAAACAATCTGCATTGCACTAAATAATGTACGGCAGCTAATATACAATATGGCAAAATGAGTAGATTAAGTTTACTGAATTTGATGGCAATTCTCACGTTTCCATTAAGTTTTTAAATCTACTGAACTTTAAACCAAATTGTGATTTATAACCCCTTAAAACAAAACTTAATGTAAGCAATCTCCACAAATACCGATGGCAACGTCTAGCAGTGCCTCTCACATGTCCTCACACAGAATATAGATGCCTAAGAAAATGAATATTATAAATTTCCTAGATTAATAGTATTGTGAGAACTGAGTGTAGTTTGTGAAGAACATGCAAATCTCACAATTTTAATGGCAGAAGTTGAAAACATACCCGCACTTCCATGTTAGGTATACATAACACCCCAATAAGAGATTGGATCCCAGAATTCCCAGGCTTACATAAACTAATTATACCTGAAAATAAAATGAAAGGCATAATTATATAACGGTAGTGTTCTGTTACGTTTTTACGTTTGAACACATGAGCAGACACTTTTGTTACAGTTTCAGAATCTGTTAAAGCCCAGAGTCTGTTGGAGTTAGACAACCAATAAAACCAGGCAGGTAGCCCTCGACTTACAATCAGTAGCCTAGTTCAAAGTAACGATGGACCTCCCTGGTACACTTTCAACCTAGTTCCAAAGTTATGATGGCCACCCCCCCCATCACATGACTACATTTTGTGCACTTCACAATGGGCCTGCATTATAGCCATTTACAACACCCCACACTCATATAACTCTTTTATGATGTTTTTGTCCAAAACTCAGCATTTATTTTTGGTTTTTGGCAAAACTGGCCCAACTAAACAATTAGTTCACTTAATAACTATGGCATTTACTCGTAACCACTGCAAAAAAAGTTGGTAAAATCAGGTCAGTTTTATGGGTGACTCATTTTATGACTGCCACGACTTATGACCATAATGGGCAGGTTCCATTATAGTTGTAAATTGAAGGCTACCTGTAAACAAATCATAAACTTTAAAAAAAAATCAGAAAAAAATGAGTGCATCAATACATTTAAACCATCTACTTGTCTAGTGCATGTTATTCTTTTTTCTGCACTGAAAGCCAAATATTTGATTCATCCTTTCTTACCTAAAGAAATTTCCAATCTAGTCTCCCCACAATAGGAAAGTTTTACTTCCAAGCGATTCTGCTTACATCTACAGTATAAAGCATCTATACACTACTAAAACTCTACTTCATGTAACCTTTAACTGGATGAACCATGGTACCCCAAATGGGTTAATTTACAGAAAGCATTTATAATCTAGATCCATGATTCCCATGGAAATGAAATTTGGTAAATTTTAGAAAACATTTTATGACATAAATATTACCATAAAGCAGTTTATGACATAATACAAAATGCCATAAAATGTTTCCTGTGCTGATGTTTGTGCTATACAGTTAACCGTGGGCTGAACAGTTTATGACATAATATAGAATGCCATAAAACACTTCTTGTGCTGATGTTTGACTATGCTAAACAGTTCATGGGCTATTTTCAAAGCAGAGAGGGCAAAGTGTGTGTGTGTGTGTGTGTGTGTGTGTGTGCATTTAAAGTGAGAACAAATAGCCTACCTGCCCATGATCGAAATGCTGCCACAATTCCCATTTTACTAGCAGAAAGCCGTGCTTCTCTGTCCTCTCTGTTAAAAAAAACATTAATGAGTAAAGACTGTTATGTTTTATTGTTTTTTTAAAAATGCTATTGCTGTAAAAGAGCTTATTCCACAAATTAGGAATAAGCAAAGAATGATTGTGTACTTACTTGAGCTGTCCTTCTGCAGTGTCTGGATTATGCCTGTAGTGAAAGTCCGTGTATGGAGCTAAAATCCGCTACAATAAAGAAGATTGGTGTCATTCCTATTACCGCTTTATATATTATCATATGTAAATCTATTTAAATGCTCTTAAAAATATTATCCTCTTTTTCTGTATAATTATCTATATATTTTGTTAATCAGAAGCTTCTTACTTTTTAACAGAACTGGCATGATACAGTTGATCTGAGTTTTTAACATGAAAATATGTATCTTATCCCTGCATTTAAACTTATCATCTAATTTCTTATTTTTAAAGGAAATAGTGTAGAAAGAAAAGGCACTGGGAGATGTTATAATTTGTTTACTAACTTTATAAATATCAATTGATTTTGAAGAAAAGAATAATTTACATACACATATGGAAGTATCAAATTTCAATGCTAATAGGTAATATTCTGTTATTAAAAGCTTAAAAGCCAAAGCTTCAAAACTGTGTGTCCTTGCTTAATGGCTGCCATTTTTAGTAACCAATCTAAGTTACAACGTTAAAAAAAATAACTTTATGATTAGGCCTTGCACTTATGACTGTCACAGCATGCTATGGTTATATGACTGCCATTTTCACATTCACAGTCCGCTTCCAACAAGCACAGTGAATGGCAAAGTTGGCAGTAAAATCATACTATCTGATATATTCCTTAACATCTATAGAAGTGAGATAGTTAAGTCTATCATGGTCATGTGATAACTTGCTTAGTGACAGTGGCAGCTCAGCTGCCAATTGTGGTTACTAAGTGAAAACTATATGTAGATAAGCAATTCAAAGTTAGAACAAATAAGCACATTAATACAATTATATTTAAAATTACCTCTAATTCCACATCAGCTCGCACATATTGTCGGGTATTTGGATGGTTAAGAAGATGTAAAACAGTCGTTATAAGAGCTTCATTTATGCGGCTTAATTGACAATCTATTACATTTTTCAAAATGGTACTTAGACCACCACGGAAAGCAACTATTTCTGGATTTTGAATCGCTGAAAGAGATTATTCAATTTTAAAAAGTATTAAAATTTTTTAAATTTTGATAATATTTAATAACTAATCACATTTCCATAGACAAAAATCTTACATTTGAAAGTTAATATTAGTCTTAAATTCATTTTTCAAAATTCTTCACCATATTACATTCCTTACAGAAACTTTGAGTACAGTCACAAAATGCTTTGACACAAATTTAAATTTATTTCAAAAGACATATGGGAAGGGGATGTGATAAAAATTACATAGATTTGTAATCTACTGTATAGATTGCCCATTCATTCCAAGAGATTGATAATTCTCTCTACTAAATCTCATATTTAACTGAAATACTTTTAAAAATGCTTACCTAATTCACAGATAATAGCAATACACGCACGAACCATCCTGTCCCTCTCTTGAAGGCCATCATTTCCAACAGCTATCAAAGAATTGGTAACTGAACTGGGAAATAATGAAGCATTGACTGTAATCATCTGCAAAGAAATGTAGGAAGAAGGAAATATTTGCTGTATACATGGCTCAATTAAGGAACAATGCAAAATATTCACTTATTCATATTAAACAGTAAATGTTTTGTTTTGGTATTCTGTTCTTAATCAGTAACTTCTTAATTTTTAATTTTATTTTTCAAAAGATAATTTTTACACTGCAACCATACAAAGAAGCAGTCCTAAGAAGGGAAACATTGCTGCTAAAGCATCTTCAAGATCTTTTTATTCAATTTACCCACAAAAATTGAATAGCAAAAACATACTCAAAAGCTACTTCAAGAGCTGCTGAAATATGCCCCAATAATTTCTCCATCTGAAAATGTTCATACAAATAATAATGTCTATGGAAAAGCTAGAAGTATGAGAGCACCATACGGCTCCAAATGAGAACCTGTACGCCCCATTAAAAATAGGTGATTTGGATAGAGGCCAATTTGATTAATTTTCTGAGATGGAATTTGAAACCATGGACATTCAATAAGGTAGGAAAGTAGAATCGTATACAGACATTTTGAACCAGAGTTTAGCAAACCATGCCCTGACTTTCAATAAGCTTTTTCCAATTCCTAAACGGACTTTAACATTTGGTACACAGCTGATCAATGCTAAGTGGACTCTCAAAAAGTGGCCCTGAATATTAAGAGTCCTTGATGCATCATATTTATTCACTGGAAGTCCCGCATAGCAGCTAAACGGACCTAAATGATACTTGATGCTTCTTTTGTTTGATGTTTCTCCTTCCTATCTTAAGCTTTTTCTGAAAGTCCATTGACATTGATTGGCTTTGGAAAGCCACAGAGACTACATGGAATATACTGGTACAAGGTGCCAGTAGCACAAGCAGTCTTTGGGGCCCACAGAATGACCCATGTTGCACCATTGCTTCCCGAGCTGCACTGGCTGGCAGTTTGCTTCCAGGTGCAGTTCCAGTGTTTGGTTATGACCTTTAAAGCCCTCTATGGCATAGGTCCAGACTATTTGATGAACCATCTTGTCCCACTAAGGCAAGCCCACCATATTCAAGCTGGCAGAGGTGGCCTGCTGAGGAGCCATCAGTCACAGAACTCTGACTGATAAGATCAGGAGAACAGCCTTCTCTGCTGTAGCACTCTGGAACATCCTGTCCCCCACAGGTGAGATTTTCTCCCTATCCTTCTGCCTGGGACAGAAGACATAGCTGTCAGTTGGCTGAGGAACCAAATGGGAGAATACATAACTGAAGATGGTTGCTGGACTAACTTACTGACCCCACCTTCCTCCTGTGCTTCATCCTCCCACACTGCTCATCTTTTGAATTTTGTATTATTGTACTTCCACTGTTTATTTTTATTGTTTCATTCCTTTACTATTATTTTTACATGTTTATCATTCTCTCCCTCCCCCCCCATTTTATTGTTGTAAGTTATAGTAGCCCGATGGTGAGATGGGTAGCAATAAATTTAACAAATAGCTCAGAACTGTGACCGTGGATGAGGTACGCAACCAAACTGTTATATTTATTCATATATTTGTTTTGTACTTGTAATCTTGTTTATACCATGTTAACTGAATTTCATTATCAGCATTGTTTTCTACAGTAAATAATCAAGCTATTTGCAATATTATTTTATAATCATATAAAACTTGAGATGGATAATTTAGTAAATAACAATATTATATTGTGAGTTTTCACATACCTTTCTGACTAAACGAAGTGCTTGTGTTCGTTCTACTTCATTACTTTGCTGTATATCTATACATCTAAAATGAAATACATATATATTTATGTACTTATATTTATAACTACCTATGAAACATGGTTTATTTTCTTAACATTTTGTTGTATTAGTTCCTTATAATTGGGATTCAGACATTAAAATAACCAGAATTATTGGTTGGTTTGGATCTAGAATTTGCCTCTCAATAAAGGCTGCCATCCTTCCATGAAAGTTTATCTGTAGAATACTTTTGATGGAAAAATAGTACAGGTGACATTTTCTTATTCTTTTTGAAAATCTACTTTCAAAAGATTAGCAGGGAGAAGTGGAATCTTTTAATACATGTGTAGGAGACTGAACAGGGATAGCATACGGAAGAAAGAACCAGCAAGAACTATGTTTTTCACTTTTTTCTCAAAATACAAGTGGCTAAAAATGCTCAAATTAGCCCAAAATTATTTTATGGGATATAATGATGAGATTCAACTTCTAAACATTACTGAGGTAAAACAATCCAAATAGATAATCCTTGATTTATGACAATTGGAGCTGGAATATTGGTTAAGCACAGGGATAGTTAAGCAAGATGCCCACATGACTGCTTCACTCAACAACCACAATCCCAGCTCAGTCACTTGCAGACATTAAATGACTATGTGAATCATTAAGCAGACAAAGCAAAAGAGTTGCCTGCCAGAGGCAGGAAAGCAGTTCTCTTCCATGTGCAGAAGACAACCCCTGCAATGGGGCTCAGGTCTTTAACAATAGCACTTATATATACAGTAGCTTCATAGTGCTTTACAGCCCTCTCTAAGCGGTTTACAGAGTCAGCATATTGCCCCCAACAATTCAGGCTTTATTTTTGCAACCTACCACAGGAATTGCCTTCCCTTCCATGTGGAAGAGAATGTCTGTAATTGGCTGGAGAAATAAAAGCTCGGATCTATGGAATGCAAGCTTCATTTCTCCAGTCCAGTGAAGGAGTGCCCCCTTCCCATTCACAGGAGGAAACTCCTGCAGCGAGTTGCCAAAACAAAGATAAGATCTAAAAAGCTTAGCTTCGTTTGTGCAGTCCAATGGATTTCCATTCACTCTGCAGTGCATAGAGGGGAGGATGAATGCTTGAACAGGTGACAGCAGCGTGAACACGTTGCCAAGCACCCAAGATCTCAATCATGTGACCATGGGGAAGGAGGGGCAACATTTTACAATGACCAGAAGTGCTTTACAGAGAATAAGGCACCCTTTCCATGTTAACTTCAAACAGTTGTTAAACAACCAGTCGTAAGTGGAGAATTACCTACATTTGCCTCAAAGCCTCCATCATGAACTGTTCCAGGCCATTTACTTATAAATGACTGCAGCTTTATTGCTCCAAATCATAATATCAACAAGATTATATCATCAGAAGGAACAACACAAGAGTTATAAAATATACAGCAGGCTTTGTAGATGCTTTTATTAGACTAATATGTGGCTAGTGTTCCCAAATGCTTCTATGTGTTGGCTTATGTGACTGAAAGCAGAATTTCTGTATATACATGAGTCCTGCACGAACACTGAATATACATAAAGCAATGGTTATCAACCTTTTTGGCAACAGGAACCGATTTTGTGAAAGACAATTTTTCCACAGACGGGGGGGAGGGGGGAAGAGGAGCACACTACCTAGATCCCTCACATGCAGAGTTTAGGGTTTGCACTCCTATGGAAATCTAATCCCTGATGATCTGAGGTGGAGCTCAAGTGGTAATATTAGTGCAGGGAAGTGGTTGCAAATACAGATGAAGCTTCGCTTGCTTGCTGCTCACCTCCAGCTGTGCAGCCCAATTCCTAACAGGCCACAGACAAGTACCGATCCGTGGCCTGCCAGGGACCCCTAACATAAAGGATGGGATCATGATTCCTGTTGGAGGAGGCTCAAGTTACAAATATAATAATACAAATGGACACTGTTTGATGGGTCATATAAACAACAGATGCATATGAAAAATCCAAGCAATTACAAATCACATTACTGTAATATTATTTTGGTAATTACCTGGCTATTAAGTAATCCACTTTCAGTTTTAATACCTTCTGTAAAATACTGGAGTCTCTGATAAGATATCGAAGAGCTCGGAGTCCTGCTGCTCGCACCTCTTTCGCTTCATTTAATAAAGCTAACCGCAAACTGTGATGATAAATAAGTCATTCAGGCTATAAATGATAAAAGTATATCCATTCTATATTCACCAAACTCATTTTATGTGATTAACTTCCTTCATCTATTTTTTAACACTGTAGTATCCAAAATGTGTTTTTTACAACATCTATAACATCAGCAGCTAATAATGTATAAATTCCTGTTATTGAAAAATTGTTAAAATATCTATTGTATTATATATTTAATCAAATTAAAAACAATAATATGAATCTAGAGAGTGACACAAACATAAAACATTTTATACTTTGCTGTAAATATTGTTGAAACTATCAGAATTACTACAGGAAAAACATCTCTGCAACATTTAAGGAATTACATAACCCCAAATTTGCAAAACTTTTAAACAATTTAACCCATCAATCCCTTTTTTGTTTCTTTTGTTAAAAAGTTCTAAAGAGCTTAAATTCTTCTAAAGATCATCTCTATAGTTGTAAGAATAGAAATAAATTTAATTACTCATGAATTTCAATTAAGGAGATACCTCCTTGAAACACATGGCCTAGTGACCTTCAAAGCTATTTAAAAAAATTATTAAGATTTAAATTCTTTGGCTATTCCATTTTATAGCCAGTAAAGATCCATTAACTTTACACTTTAAAAGTACTAGTTCCTGTTGTCTGGATTCATTTGCAGCTTATCAGAATGATCAAAAATGAAATCATTATGGGGTAAAAATCACTACAAAGCTAAATGTTTTCAACATTACGCTGATATATCGTATTTTTCCCAGAGGTTTTCAGCTTAGCACATTTAAGATTCTGAAAGTCAGAAGAATGACCAACTGGGTAAAAAAGCATACTGTACGAAATCATGTTTGCAACTTCTAAAAAGAACTGTGTTTTTTTCTACGCTTATGGTGGCCTTTAGAATGCAGGCAGTTGTTAAGTTTATGCTATCAAAGTTCTAGAGGACTTTTCAGAAACCAGATTTAAAATATGGTATTGCTGTGATCCTTAAATTAAATCCCCAGTAAATACAATGATATAATTTTAAAATTATAAAGAATAAAGTTAATCTTTAGTCAAGTATGCTCAATCTTTGAGATATAGATAAGGTCAATAATACTATTTGACATCTTTAACAGATATTTTTATTAATATACAAAATAAAATTGGACTTGTCAAATTTGTTTCTGAGTTTTAATATAGCACTATACTGTATTCAATTCTGTTAGCAGTAAAGGATAAGGAAGACATTATTGTCCGCCTTAGCTGTAAATGGAAAGGAAACGCATATAAAATACTTTCTCTAACACCTCCAAAAGAAAATACAGGTAATCCTCCTCTCTCCCTCCTTCCTTTAGTGATTGTTCAAAGTTACAATGGCACTGAAAAGTATGACTTATGACCATTTTTCAGTTATGAAGCTTTGCATAGCATTACAGCATCCCCATGATCACATGATCAAAATTCAGATGCTTGCCAACAGATTCATATTTATGACCATTGCTGTGCCCCAAGGTCATGTGACCACCTTTTGTGACCTTCTGACAAGCAAAGTAAATGGGAAAACCAGATTCACTGAACAGCCGTATTACTAACTTAATAACTGCAATGAGTTAACTGTGACAAGAAAGGTTGTACAAAAGGTTGTAACAAATGTCTCACTTAACCACAGAAATTTGGGGCTCACTTGTGGTTGTAAATCAAGGACTACCTGTATGTCATGCTGACCATTATAACATATTACATATGTATTGGTTTAAAAATAGGTCAAGTCACCGCGTATTTTGTAGTATTTATCTGCTTATCCATCATTTATAATTATTTAAATTCTTTACCATCCCAATGTGTGGCTAGTAAAAGTCTGGTTATTTTAAACAAAAACAATTTTTAAGGTTTTTTTTTCAGGTCTTTAACAGTAAACAGGATATATTATACAACAGGCTGATGCTTAAGATATAAGCTGGGCATAAATCCCAACTGTTCATCAGGGACAGGAGTAACAATCAGAGTTAACAGTGAAGCTAATAATCTCTGCTGCTCACAACTGTTATTGGGTCTGAAGAGGTGCTCAATTTAAATCCACCTTAATCCATTTCCACATTTATCTCCCATCACAATTTAGAATTTCTAGCCTTTTGTTCTAATTCTGTCACAATCCATCTTCTCTGAAGAAAACCACTTTCTGGTTTGTTATTACTTTAATCCAGAATTTCAATCATCAGATTACTATTTACAATACACAACACTTACCATATGATGATATCTTCATAAGCAAAACCTAATTTTTCTTCAGTATGACCAGCATTACAAAGAAGCTGCAAGAAATAAATTTCAGTACTTTCAACAACAGAATTAAAACAATTTTCAATAAGCAAGTTCAACTAATCATTTCCTCACATCTATACTACTTCCCAATTAACCAATCTGAACATTTTTCCAGGATATTATTAGAAGAGAAAGAAATAGCCTGGTTGAATTATTGTCATTAATTTTTGTCAATTATTTTGAAAGATAATTTAAAAAAACCAAGCTATTGATATCTGGATTGACTGAAAAATTCTTTACTTTTCAGATGTATACAGGATTCTATAATTTAACTTAATTACTCCAATTACCTTAAAAGACACAAATTTAAAAAATGTACAAATTCCTGGTTTCTCTGCAAACAGCAACAATCTCGAATTTAAAAAAAAATTCTACCACTCGCATCTTTATCTAATTCATTTTTTTTTGGCAAAGCTACTACCACTTTTAAAGCAAAAATCACCAATATAATTTTGTTTCATTGCCTATAAATATATGATAACAAAAGTAATAAAAAATGGTTCAACTATTTGATATCCTACTATGTAGATCATTTGTTATAATAAGGATGTACTGTATAACAAAATATATTCTGGGCCCTAAATACCATAAAACTGACAAAATGCTACTGCATTGACACCTGAAGTAAAAGTGTAAGAGAACAGCTCAAATAACAGACAATGTAGATCCTTCTCTTCCACTTTACATATGGGCTTAGTTTTGTGAAGAAAGTTTATAAAATAAGATTATATATAAAATAAAAGCAGGGAGAGCTTTAATTTGAATAAACATTTACCTAGGGCATCAAAGCCTTGGGGGTAACAATACAGCCCCTGTTCTGAATGATTCTAAAAACGCAAAACTTCACATTGGCAGCACATGATACCAGCAGTCAATGTGTCTCAGGAGTGTCATATGCCCTTGAGTTAGCATTGTTGAATGGTCTATGAACAAAATTTGTATTAGGGAGCTACACTGGTTATCCTGTGCAATTCAAAGTGCTGGTTGTTATCTATTACATACCGTACAACTCAGAGTCTGAGTACTTTAGAAACCCCTTTTGCCTGACAATATAGGAGACCAGGGGACAACTGCTGTGACAAGATTCAGTTGAAGGGAGCTTGATAATGAATTTTATTTAAAAGATTTATATTATGGCTGCCCAAACTCTGGGAAGCTTATAAAAATCATTACGCCTATAAAATAAAATAAAAATAATAAACAAACATTCTGCGTCATAAGCATCCCCCTTGGGATACCCAACAGCAGACTCAGCTACCCTCCTACTGAATGTTGAACAACTTGCCTCCAGAAGTTGTGAATGTTCCAACACTGGAAGTTTTTAAGAAGAGACTGGACAACCATTTGTCTGAAATTGTATAGGATTTCCTGCCTAAGCAGGGGGTTGGACTAGAAGACCTCCAAGGTCCCTTCCAACTCTGTTATTCTATTCTAGTGCACCCTGTGAGATCCCCCTCCTTTGAAATAACTTATTCCAAAGTACAGATGGCTTGCCTCTCATAGTTTTCAGAAGGTTGTAAACAACTGGCTTTTTGAGAACTGGCAGATGAATGTTTTTTATTAATCTGTATTATCTGGAATTATGATATATTGTTATTTTATTAGTTACTACATGTTCTACCTTGCCTAGAATCCTAGCCAACAGAACTAAACAAAGTCTACAAATAAGTCATGAATATCCAAATCTCAATTTCTATCTTAAAAATGTATTCATATATGGATAAACAGATCCTCCAACATGCCTCTCTGGATCTGCAAAAAGGAGACATGTAACAGTCGCAGGCTCAGCTGACTGCTTCATGGCCCTTTCTAGGTCTTCACAAGAATGCATATATATATTCAGAACATACTTCTTCTGGAAGCACATCCATAATTGTTTCATATACATCAAATACTGCAATATGCATATGCTTCTTCAACATGGTTCATTATCACAGCAGTCTACTTATTTGTTCAAGTTCTGCAAAATTGTGGATATCCAAGTAATTTCAAACAATTTACCAATCCCGTTATTACTTGATGACTTTATCATGCTACATCATTCAACCACTATTTTTCTAAAACAATTATTTGATGCATTAATAAAAATAAAAGATAACATTATAACAGTCACTAAATTTCTTACCTTTGTAAAATTATTCAAATGGCCAAGTTTTCTCATATTTGAAACCCCTTGCAATTTGGCCACATTTTGGAGAATCTCCCTCAAGTTATCGGAGGGGTCTACAAAAAAATATGGGACAAATAGAGTTAGAGAAACTATATAGTTCCCAAAACAATGAAAAATGTATCCCTTGATCACAGTGTAACTCCTAAATTATCTTAATATTTATCTTTGAGAATTCCTGCCATGTTTTGACACACAAATTTATTATATACTGAGGTTATTATTTTGTTATTTATTTATAAATTTGTGCCTTTTTCTGATCCAAAAGACAGAGTTCAAGCTGAATTGATGACTGAAAAATAACCACTTTTATATTAGTCACCCTATAATAAACTGCTATGATGCAGAACAATATTATATATTTGGCTATCAACAATCCAGTACAAATAGTTCTCAGCTTAATGACAATCGGGACCAGAATTGTAAGATGGTGTGGTTGTAAATTGAGTCAGATCCAATTTTATAAGTTTTATGGTGGTCATTAAATAAATCATTGCAGTTGTTAAGCGAATCAACATCTCTTAAGCAAATACCCAATGGTTTTTTGTTTTTGTTTTTTTGCTGGAAATTGGCAAAAAAGGTAGCAAATGACAATCCCATGACCACAGTGCAACAGGGTCATAAATGCGGGTTGGTTATCAAGTGTCCAAAATGCGATGTGAGCGCAGGAGTGGTGCAATGAGTGAAAGTGTGTGAACGATTGTCACTTTTTCTAAAGTTGTTGAAACTTTAAACCACTGTTAGATGAACGGTTATTGAATCAAAGAATACCTGTAAAAAAAAAACTATTATTTTGTTACTGCTATAATAAGCGAAATTAAAAATTTTGATGGAAGGGAATCTTATAAAAATAGAAAATGTTGAGATTCCAAAGATTTTTTTACAAAGTGAAAATAGCGCTTCCACAGAAAATATAAAAAGAATGAGAAAAAGAGAAAAAATAGTAAGACAGAAAACATTTTATAAAACTTAAAAAGCAAAAAACTACAAACAAGAGAGATTACAAAGGTTACAGTAGTATTGATATAAAAACATCACTATTATAATCTTTGGTTTTAAGGATGCATAATAGATGGGATAAATTGCTGTCCTATAATTTAACATTATCAACAATGTAATATGGATGATGTATATTCTTTTGTTTTGAGCATTTTTCAGAAAATTGCCAAAATAATTCTAGATTCAAATAATTTTGCTATAAAAATTATTTAGGTTTCAACTACAAGTTCATAGATTTAGAAAATCTTATTTCATCAAACTAATAAATAATAATAAATCAAACTACAGGCAGTCCTTGTTTAGCAAGTGCAATTAGGACCAGCAACTCAATCAGCAAGCAAAGTGATTGCTAAGTAAAACTGTCACCCTGTTTATGATCTTAACTTCAGCTTTCATTTGCTTTATAGACCTGCAAAGGTCAAAAATGCAAAGACTGGTTTCAAAGTTACTTCTTCATCACTCTCATAACTGTGATCAATCACACTACTACACAGTTGCTAAATGACTACCTGTGCTTTCTCAGTAAGGCTCTACAAAACAGAAACATTCCAGCTTGATCAAATTAACAGCCAAAATGCAGTTCTATTTGCCTTTTCTCAAAGTAGTAATAAAATATCCTCTGGTTACAAAGCTTTAAATGCAGACACCTGATTCGTACTATCATATGTGGTGGACATGCCCCAAAGCAAAAAAATACTGGACAAAAATGCATACATGACTGGAAAAAATGGTAAAACAACATATTGATTTGAAACCAAAAATATTCTTGTTGGGCATTTTACCGGATAAGTACAATAAAAGGAATGCATATCTGATTTTACATGTATTGACTGTAGCTAGAATTGCATTTGCACAAAATGGAAAAGTTAAGAGAGTCCAACAGATAAAAATGTGATTAAAAAAATTATTAGAATGTGCAGAAATGGATAGGCTAACACTTACAATTAAGGAAAAGAAACTGAATATTTTTTGACCTGGGATTTATTTTATCAAAGGGAGATATGTTAAAATGGTTAAGTAAACATTAATAATAATAATAATAATAATAATAATAATAATAATAATAATAATAATTATTATTATTATTATTATTATTATTATTATTATTTTATCAACACTAATGTAATAATTACTGTTATAAATATGTTGATTATTATTTCCTAAAACTATTTGTACCCAGACAACACACTGTTTAATTGAAAATGAAATTTTTATGTTATAAAATAAAAAAACTTGATGGAAAAAAAGGCATGTATGATGTATTACAAGAAGCAGGCGTACATTGCTTATGAAGCATGGTCCCAAACATTCTGAAAATTAAGTAAGTGAACTGGACTGCAGCCTCTGACACCATTGTTCTTGGTATCTTGTTGGACCACCTGCAATTGGGGATAGGAGGTATTGTTTTGCAATGGTTCTGCTCCTTCCTCAACGGACAATTTTAATCTGCCATAGCAGGTGGGAGGAGAGATTGATCCAATAGCTACTACTAGGTAGAGTGCCACAGGATTCAATTCTCCCTTCCCTGTGTTTTAACATCTATAGTAAACTGATGGAGGAAGTCATCTAAATTTTTTGGATGTGATAGCAGTACCCTGGTGATGCCTAATTATACACTACTATACCACCCTATAAGAGAGATGCAGTTGATGTTCTTTATTTTATGTATTTATCATATTTAGAAACTGCCCATCTCCCTCACAGAAGGACCCTATGTACAAATAAGCACCTGGAGCCTGTGAAGACTTGGATGAGAGACAACAGGGAAAATCTGAACCCACATAAGAAAGAATTGCTGCTTGTACAATGTAATTCTTCTGGATTCATAACTTCTGCGTGAAGTCTGGTAATAGCCAGAACTTAAATTTAGCTCTGGATAGTACAGTTGCAGTCTTTCTTACTGCAAGGATACCTAGCTATAGTAACTTATTCCCTCAATACCAACCAGTTAGACTACTGCAATGCACTTTACATGGGGTTGCATGTATCTGCAACTGGTCCAGAATATTTGTTTAACAAGTTTACCATTGTACAACACTTGTATGTGAATTGCATGAAACAGGAAAATATGTTATATAAAAAGATTTAATGGAATAAAATAAATTAATGGATAACCCCATTTAAAAAGTCTTGCAATTGTAACCCTGCACCTTCACTGAGGCGAATGAAAACAACTTTTTTTTTAAAAAAGTAATTCATGTCATTAAATTGGTGTTTAACACTTAAACACCAACTTAATGATACCTAATCCAGCAATCCACTCATGCCTATGCTGCAAGGAGGGATCATATTAGCTATAACGGTATCTTAAAAATAAGAACCAAGGCATTACACTTGTTTTGTTGCTAAAGAAAATATTTCAATGCTTGAAATTATTGCTTCATAATCCAGAAGCATTTAAGTTTGTTGCATCAGCTATTCCAGTTTCTATAAATTTCAGATCGCGTCACTAATACCTTATAATGCACTGTAGTTATAGCTTTTCTCAGAAACTTCAAATGGTTCAAAATGCTATAACAAGATTACTTTAGTATGCCATATTCATTTTCAATTCTATATTTCTTGTTGCATCATACTTTTATTTAATATTTACTGCAAATAAACTAGATTCTGGGCCATCATTTATATATGAAGATATACGTAGATTCATATCCCCAATTAGCCAATACACTTAACTGTTACCACAAAGAGTTCTGTGTGGTATAGCAGTTTGAATGTTAGACTAGCAGCAGGTTTTAGTCCAAGCTCAATCATCAAAGGTAACTAGTTGGGTTTGAATCAATCACTTGCTCTCACCTTAAAGGGTAATTTTAGTGAAGAAAAATAGAAGGAAGGAGATCATATACACTAACTTAAGTTTCTAAATAAAAAACAAGTTATAAATCTAACAAATACATTAAAGTTTATTTTATTCATTTGGCAATAGAAATCTGGGATAGAAAATATAACATATATGCTGGGGTTTATTTGCATGAGTGTGAGCAACTTTCATCCCCTTCCTATAGCGAAAGAGTAAAGAAAAACAAAAAATGAGAGAATAAAATATCAAACCACAGTGAGAAATATCAAATTACTAAGAAAGAAACTAAGTTTGAGACCAAACCTTCTAAATACAACCCCAGGTTCTAGTTTACAGTAGATCCCCTTCACTTTTTTTTTTAAAAAAATACAGTTTTAAAAAGAATTTTTAAAATAAGTTTTAAGTCATCAATGCAGTTATTTTATTAAAATTCTGGAAGACTGTTGCCAATCGAATAAGACAGAACAGGATTAATTAAAATAGTCACTGTATGAAACAGAATTCTATTGGAATAGATTTTGACTCTATGTTCATTCCTAAATCTTTGAATTCATGTAACTCTATAGAGACATGGGATTTATTTCCCACATCCTGGCATGGGACAGCCTCATCTCCTTACTTTGTGCTTATATAAAAATTATATTGTCAGAGAAATTCCTAGACTGTGATTGTTTATAAATCATATTCAAGATGTTCTGGGGTTTTTTCTGCATTACAAAATGTTCTAATGGTACTCGATATTATTTCTGTCACCCATCATGTAAGTTTTAAAATTTAAAATCCATAAAGCTCTCAGTGAAATAAACAGTACATTATTTCATTATGCCTCTCTCTATATATATAAACACACAAACATAAATCACTTTTGACAATGCAGAATTACTATTCTAACGTGACAGATATTCAAAGGTTTAAATTTATACGCACAAATTTTGATAATGAAATTGTGGCTTCCCATACTATCCATTATTTTTCAGTCATCCAAGAATGTCACTTTATGTAAATGTCCATTTTTCTGTGATAATATCCAGGACTCTCTGTCCTTTGACAATAAACAAACAGAAAAACTTTACATTTTCCTAAAAATAGGCAGCTTAGAAACTGCATTTGGTTTTGTGAGGCTATCTAATTTAGGTGGAGAAGGATATTATGCATACTTTTAGCTATTTTTTTCTTGTATCCGATTCCATCACACACATACATTTATTGACTGATCATGAGTCAATAAATTTGGATTTCTCAAGCAACTTGAGGATCTTAATGACTAACTACTGGCTTACACTCAGCTTATGAGTTCTAAGTTATTGAAGCTTATTCAAAAGAATTGTAGGTGACCTGCATATTATATGTAACAATGAAAAGAATCATCCAAAAAGTTTGCATGGTCTTTCTCCATTTTTTTGGTCTTCCTTCTTAGGAAAGGAAGAGACGTAGCATATCACCAAAGCAGCTTACTCATAACTTTTATTGATTGACTTTATTTCAATCAATTTACATGGCCACCCATCTCATAAACACAAGTTAGGGCAGCTGATAGGTTAAAAACATATACCACTGATTTTTTTTTAAAAAAAGGACAAGGTATTATGGCAACCAAGGAAATCAGCAACATCTGGTTTCAATTTCTATAATTCTAACCCCACCCCCCACCCCCACCCCATGCCTGGGAAAATACCTAGATCTAAACAGCTTTCCAAAAGACCCGCAAGATAGAATCTAATCTATTTTGGAAGTATGATTTGATAGGGCAGGCACTGTGACAAAGAAAGAAGGCTTCTTGAGTTCTACAAAGCAGTACTATCTAACTGATACAACCCAGAGATTAGGATCCCACAGAATTAAGACAACAATGCAACAGGCACCACTTCTGCATCACCTGTAAAGGAATTTAAAAGTACTACCTGTGCAATTAATACTGCTAGTTATGCAAATTATCTTTCTGACCACATTCTGCTAAACATATCTAGCTTTCTTCAAGCTTTCTTTCATCATTCAAAGTAAAAAAAATCAAACGTAGGGGACATACTTAAGTACTATTATCCAAGGATCACTGAACTGAACTGCCTTCATGAACACATATAACATGGACTATTTTACTGAAGCAAGTCTGAAGAAATAATAGAACATATTACACTATGCAGTAAACGCATTTGTAATAAGAGAGTAATAATAGAATAATAATACACAAGAGAAACAAAACATCCCTGTGCAATACATTTTCAGTATCCTCATAAAAGTTGTCAAAAGATCCCCAGAATCTACTTGACTTTTAAGAGACTTCAGTATATTTTTCCTTCAATAATCTAGAAAATTGGTATATTAATTGGAGCTACAAAGTATCAAAATGTGTATCTAGACACAATCTGTGATAAATATTTTTTGAATTGTAGCATTTAAATTAAATGAATATTTTCTCTATTGAATGTCATTTTCTAAACAATTTAGCCCCAATTTAGATTTTACAACTGCAGTATGAAGACATCCATAGTGAAGTCCAGCAATCACTGCAGTAATGTCCAAACATAGAAATCACATGCCCTGTGTGAATAAACAGTATCTTTTTGCATTATGTCATTTATTCTTCAGTAGAACCATTTAGAATCTGTTGGACTAAAATTATGGATTTCATTGTGCACTTCTGAATTTATCCTGTGCTATTGTTTGTACTACATATTTTGTCAGAAGCTTATGCGCTTATTCTAATTTTTTTCTGATAAACAAGACTGCGCCAAATATTCCACTCAGTTTACAAAGGATTTGCAAATCCTAATATGCAGTATGCTAGAATCTATTATTTTATCTACCCAAAACTGTATCTAAAACAAATGCCATTTACTAGTGACGAATTGCAACTCTGCCACCCAGAAATAGCATGATGGAAACAGAAAAAACAGCCCTGTTCATCAATTTGGACCAATGAAGAGAAGTTTATTTATTCCAGAAACAACATGCTGCTGTAAAAACAGTCCTGAGACTGACTAATATATACCTTCTGAGTTTTGCTTGTATTGTAATTTGTATTATTTTAATATAATTGATACTGCCTTAAGGAGTATGTATGTCATACTGAATATAAATATGCTAAATAACAAACAATGAAATAAGTTATACTGCATACTGATAGTTTTATGTTTAGATAGCATGCCAATAGCATATTTTACTACAACTATTTTAAGTCTAAAAGGAACATATATATATTCCTATAAATCATCTCTGAAAATTTTGAGTTTTTCAAAAATGTTAGTATCACGATACTTCCAGCTGCCACCTTGCTTTAATATCCACATCTAATCATGGTAGAGGACAGTTTTTGCCTATCTATGGACACTCTCAGTTAGGGAAGCTTTTATAGCTTATCAACAGGCGCAAAGGAGGCCTATTTCCAAGTAGACTGACTCACCAAATCAATTTGCAAGATGAGTGTAGGAGGAAAGCCTTCAGAAAGACCATTAAGATTTATATAGTGCTAGCATAAGCACTCAAACGCGCCCTTAACGGCTGCTAACAGCCATCAACAGCAAGCGGAGATTAAATAATGAACCTGAAATAGGTTAAGTTGCACACACAATCTAGGGTGGAGAGAATGCAATACACTACTTGTCAATAACCGGGTAGCTACTTGTTGTCCTCATGCTTCCCCCCCTCCACATCAACACACTATCTCAGCAAGCAACTCACCAGAGTGAAGCATCCCTTTGCATTTATCACTCTGCCATAAAACACCATGACTTTCACTATTTTCAAGGCAGATTTTTTTGGGGGGGGGGGAAGAGAGACCGATTTGCCTTTCATCCTGTCAACCCAGCCTTCACATTCCCTCCTTTTTCAAGAGGCCCAACAAATACCAACTTATTTTAAGCAGGGTAAAAAAACGCCATTGTAGAAGGGGGGGGGGGGGGGAGAGAAAAAAAAAAAGGGGGGTTTGACACAACCAACCACACACACACACACACACACAGAGTATGCGAAAAAAAATCTCATTTCTTCAGAGTTTATTTCTTCATGCAAAAACACGCAGGGCAGTAAATGGAAAGGCCGGGCTTTCCATTGAGGAACTAATTTTTTACTCCACAAGTCCGCTTCAGACACCGCAACCAGGCTGAATGAAATATTACTCACAGGGAAGCGAGAACCACTCCAACCAAGCTTAGTTTTAAATAAGGGAGGAGGAAGGAAGCGGCGGCGGCGGTGGTGGTGGGGGAGGTTGGTCGGTTGGTTCCTCCAACCATCCCAAAACAAGCTTGAGTTTCAAATATAAGGGGAGGCCGGCGGCCGGTTGTGCGTTGGCAACCTTTCCATCCGCAAAAGGGAGCCGCTTCGAGAAAAGGGAGAAGCGGCTCCCCGGTGCTCCTTTAGGCGACCCTCCCTCTTCTCTCCCCACGGAGGACTCGCCCCACGAGCCTCTCTCCACCCTCAGACCCAGGCTCCATTCACTCCCATTCTGAAAATGGGAGCCGGCAACGCAAAAGAAGGAGGAGGAGGCGGCGGAGTGGGTGTTTATGCCCGGCTCGGCTCGGCTTGGTTTTCGGCAGGCCCCTTCGTTACCTCGGGTGAGATCGAGCGGGACGTTCTCCTCGCCGCTGTCGTTCCGGCCTGGAAAGGGAGGAGAGAAAGGAGAGAGAGAGAGAAGAGCAGGAGATTCAGTTAGTGATGGAAGCCGCAGCGGCGCCGCCGAGCAGCGGGGCTGAGGCAAAAGAGAGAGGGCGAAGAGCTCGGAGACACGCCGCTTTCGCTTCCCTTCCCCGCCCGCCCAGGTCTGGGCCTAGCCCAGGTTCTCCTCACCTCGGATGCGGAGGTGCCTCAGCGAGCGGGCGCGGAGACTCACCGCCATGTTTACGGTCCCGCAGTCACAACACCGGAAACCTTGCCCGATCTCGCGAGAGCGGGGCGGAGGAGAGACGCCGCTTGACTTCGCCCGCCGGACGCGCTCGGCCCGGCAGTCTGAGGAGAGCGGGGCGGGGCGGCTGTGGCGGCGACGCTGCTGCTGCTGGGGGGGCTCCCGGAGGGCGGAAAGGGACCCGCCCGTATTCGGCGGTGCCTCTCGAGGGGAGGCTGCCTGGAAGGGCCAAGAAGGAGGGGGAAAGCAGTAGCAGTGCAGCCACCGCCACCGCTCCTCCTTCAGCCAGGTGGCGGGACCCGCATCGCCTTATTGACCGCGATGGGTGGTAATTGGGTGTGCGCGATAAGGGATTTGTAGCTCGCGTGCGCGCACGTGGACGGCTAAATTAGTCTACTTATCTCCTTTCTCTCAGTGGCTTCCTGAGAGGAAAGTGTTTTTTTCGATCTATCTATCCATCATCTATATATGGATATCAATATATAATATGTCTGGTTCTTTGTGTGTGTATGTGTGTGTGTGTACCCTGTTTCCCCTAAAATAACACATCCCCTGATAATAAGCCCAATTGGACTTTTGAGCCCATGCGCTAAAATAAGCCCCCCCAAAAATAAGCCCTCCCCGAAAATATTTAATAATAATAACTTTATTGTCATTGTATATGTATACACAGTATACCCATACAACAAAATTCACTAAGCACCCAAAGATCAAGCCCAACATACATGACAATCCCCAAACACCCCCCACCCCCCCTCACCCCAATTCCCCACCCCTAAACCACCCAAACATCCACCCAACAGTCCAAGTAATGCTGTCCAACAGCTCACTGATGGTGGCCCTTTAGTTCATTGTTGAGTGCAATTATAGCTCTGGGATAAAAACTATTCAGAAAACGTGTGGTCCGAGTTTTAATTGTTCTGTATCTTCTGCCAGAAGGCAACAGTCCAAAAAGATTGCGCAGCCCGTTCCCGCCATTTCCTCTGGTTAGGATTAGGGAGACAGAGCTGGAAATCAGGCAAGAGGAGCCCCGTCTTGCTCTACACGCCCCAAAATAATAAGACATCCTTGAAAATAAGGCCAGAGGTGAGTTTCAGAAGGTTCTGACCAATTCTGGAGAAACGGTAGTGGAAATTTTCAGTAGTTCGGAGAACCGGTAGTAAAAATTCTGACTGACCCCATCCCCATCTATTCTCTGCCTCCAAGTTCCAGCTGATCGGGAGGAAATGGGGATTTTACAATATCCTTCCCCTGTCCCACCTACCAAGCCAGGCCTACCAAGCCACTCCACATCCACCAAGCCATACCTACAGAACTGGTAATAAAAAATTTTGAAACCCACCACTGAATAAGACCAAGCACTTATTTTGGGGTTCAAAAAAATATAAGACAGGGTCTTATTTTCGGGGAAACAGTATATGTTTCTTTGGAAGGACAGATATCGAAGCTGAAGCTCAAGTACTTTGGCCCTCAAATATGAAAAGAAGACTCATTGGAAAAGACCCTGACTTGGGAAAGACTGAAGGCAAAAGGAGACGGCAGAGGATGAGCTGGTTAGACAGTGTCATTGAAGCAGTGAATATGGGTTTGGCCAAATTCAGGGGGATGTTGGAGGAAAGGAGGAGACTGGCATGCTGTAATCAATGTGGTCTTGAACATTGGGTGCTGTCTAACAAAATGAAATTCAATGGTGAAAAAAGTAAGGTTCTACCTTTAGGCAGGAAAAGTCTGTGCGATATCTTGCTCAATAGTGGTGACTGTGAGTCCTAATGGACAATCACTTAAATATGAGCCAGCAGTGTGCAGCAGCTGCCAAAAAAGCCGACACAGTTCTAGGTTGCATAAACAGAGGGATAGAATCAAGATCACATGAAGTGTTAATACCACTTTATAATGCCTTGGTAAGGCCACACTTGGAATACTGCATCCAGTTTTGGTTGCCACAATATAAAAAAGATGTTGATGACAAGAGTGCAGAGAAGAGTAATGAAGACGATTAGGGGACTGGACTGGAGGTTAAAACATATAATGGGTGCTGGAACTGGGCATGTCTAGTTTAATGAAAAGAAGGACTAGGAGAGACATGATAGCAATGTTCCAATATCTCAGGAGTTGCCACAAAGAGTACAGAGTCAAGCTATTCTCCAAAGCACCTGAGGTGGAAACTAATCAAGGAGAGAAGCAACCTAGAACTAGGGAGAAATTTCCTGACAGAACAATTAACCAGTGGAACAACTTGCCTCCAGAAGTTGTAAATGCTCCAATACTGGAAGTTTTTAAGAAAAGATTGGATTTGTCAGTCATGAAGAGTTGGGTGTGACTTAACTGAGTGATAAAAACAGATACACATATGTGTATGGATGCATGTGTGTTTATATGTGTGTATTCTCTGTGTGTACATTCAGAAAGTATTCAGATCCCCCGTTCACTTTTGTCAGTTTGGTTATTTTTTAAAAAAATTTGATTTATATGCTGCCTTTCTCCGGAGACTCAGGGCGGCTTATAATGTGTTAAGCAATAGCCTTTATACTTTTGTATATTTATATAAAGTCAGCTTATTGCCCCCACAAACTGGGTCCTCAATTTACCTACTTTAGAAAGGATGGAAGGCTGAATCAACCTTGAGCCTGGGGAGATTCGAACTTACAGTAATTGCAGACAGCTGGTGTTAATCACAATGCTATCAGTCTGCTGAGCCATCAGGCCCTGTTCCCAGGTTATGCTGTAGCATGATTCTACAGTTGTTGAAATTCATTTTTTTTCCCGTTAATAATCTGCACTCAGTATCCCCATAACGACAAAGTGAAAACAGAAGTTTAGAAAGGTCTGTAAATTTATTAAAAAGAAAAAACCCTCAAATATCACATTGTCATAAGTATTCAAACCCTTCACTCAGTACTTTGCTGAAGCATCTTTGACAGCAATTACAGCCTTGAGTCTTTTGGGGTATGAGGCAACAAGCCTTGCACATCTGGATTGGGGGATTTTCTGCCATTCCTTGCAAATCCTCTCAAGCTCAGTCAGGTTCGATGGCAACTGTTGGTGGACAGGCATTTTCAGATCCCTCCAGAGATGTTCAATAGGGAGGTCAGGTGTGAAGTTTCTCCTCCCCTCCTGCTTATGGCAACTTGAAAGCTTTGCAAGTTGACATCAGGGCTCTGGCTGGGCCACTGTAGGACACTCACAGAGTTGTCCCTAAGCCACTCCTGTGTTGTCTTGGCTGTGTGTTTAGGATCGTTGTCATGTTGGTAAGTGAACCTTCAGCCCAGTCTGAGGTCCTGAGTATTGTGGAACAGTTGTCATTGAGGATATTCCTCAAAGTGCATTTGTGCGAGAAGTCAGACATATTTAGGATCTGTTTTATACATACATACATACATACATACATACATACATACATACATACATACATATATACACACACCGTAATTCCAGTTCCAGTAATTCCTAAATGTTAGGTTGCTCACAAAAATGCACTTTCACCATTCTTGTACCTGTTTGATGTATTCTATACTTACACATTCATCACATATTCATATTCCTTTACACAAAATGTTCATGTAATCTGTCTTCATTGTACTGGTTTTTGTTACAGGAACTGCTTTTGCAGTTATTTGATATAATACTGTCAAGTATTGTTTCCAAATGGCTCTATAGGTTTTGACTTCTTGTGTGCTACAGGCAGAATCCCATTTCTGTGAAATATGGGTGCTCATAAATATACTATAACATCTCTACAACCCAACAAATGTTCAATTTCAGCTGATAAAAGTCAAAAGCCTCAACATTTGTAGGTGTAATCTTTTTACCACATACATATTAGCAAATATGGCATCCTGCGGCCTGTTTGGGTTGAACTCGACTCCTGATGACTTCATAGATAGGTCCATGCAGGGGTTTTTTTTGTGTGTGTGTGTGTGGGGAAGAGCAAATGGTTTGCCATAGGTTTCTTCTGGAATGTTTCTTTCATTTTCTAATGTAACTTAAAACTGAGCCCAGGGCTCTCCATTTAAGTATTAATTATACCTGAGCCTAAAAAGCCACTCAGAAATAAATCTCAGTCTGCAATTTAAAGATAGGATTTCAGTATATATACCCGTGATGGCGAACCTATGGCATGCAACGCCCTCACTGTAGGCATGCGAGCCGTCATCCCAGTTCAGCTCTGCTGCGCATACGTGCGCGCCTCCTGCCGGCCAGCTGGTCGTTGGGTCTCTGTCACACATGCGTGGCGGGCAGTGTGTGTGCAGGGGGCACACACACATATGCAGGGGGGTGCGGGCAAGGGGGCCACACGTGCATGCGCAGGGGGGGCAGGGTGCATGCGTGGGGAGTGCGTACGCATTGCAATTTAGGGGTTTGGGCACACAATTTGGGCGCTCGTTCCGGAAAAGGTAAGCCATCACTGATATATACAATACCTTATTTCTTATTATCCAAAGTAAGATTTTGTTTTATAGTAATTGTCCCAAAGGTGCTTTTGTAAAAAGGGAAAGGATTTTATTGGTTTTTTTCCTTGAAATTGTTTCACTTTTCATCCAAGAAGCTGCTTCAGCTCTGACTGAACTGAACTGATCAGAACTGAAGAAGTTCTGTTCCACCTTCTTGGATAAGGAACAAAACATAATTCAAAGAAAAAACCAAAAAAGTCCAGTTGCCTTTTTAAAAAAGCACCTTTGGGACAACCATGACCTGGATGATTGAGAATCTCCAGAGACACACAAGAATTATTATAAACCACAAGATGGCATTGTGATGTCCCTTTTGTTTTTGTTTTTTTGTACAATTTTACAAAGGATCAAACTCATCAGATCTGCAAAAATGTCTACTTATCAGTCTCCCCACCACCATAATCTGAAGTTAACTGAAGGAAATCTACTGAACTAGGTAGATTGGTAGTCTCTGGGGTTTTTTTTTTTTTTAAAAGACATCCTCAACACATTTCATGCTGAAGGAAAAACCCTATTCTATGATGTTAGATTCATGCTATCTGCTGGATAGGACTGGAATCCATCTAGAGCCATGTGAATATTACAACTTAAACCTTGAAAAAGCAGTAATTGGGTTTAACAACTTTTTTTGAAAAAAAAACACATTTTATCAG